TTCGTCTCTCATTTTTATCCGTTTTTCTACTGTTTTCGTATTGTGTTTCAAGACCATTTTTGTAACTGTGGTGTAAGAAGTGCTGGAGAATCTTCAGGAGTGAGTGCTAGTCGTGATCGATGAACTTGTAAGTTGATTTTTGGCTGTAAAAAATTGCTTATCCGCCACTGCTTCGGACAGTAAAAATCAGTCAACCATGAATGTATACCCTGTGTGCGAGCTCAAATGTATTGGTGCAGCGGTACTCTCCCGTAGAGCACTTCTACCTGATACAGTATGGTAGAGGATTAAGGCCCTGGGACTGTGCAATGTTAAACCTAGCCGCAGAGGCTACAGGGGCGGAGCCAACAGAGTGCATACAATACGCACAAGAATTACAACAGCCCGACAGCAATCTTGTTATTCAGCCGGCGTCAATAAGAACAATTTAGTTAGTTTAACTAACAAAAGGTGGACCTTCCCATGCATTCTTAACCTAAATGCTCGCTCCCTGAGTATTGAAAAAGCTGACGAATTGCTAGAAGTTGCCCAGAACAATCAAGTGGACATCGCATGTGTGTCAGAGACATGGTTCAACGATCACATAACAGACGAAGCCGTAGCTCTTCCAGGTTTTACATGTGAGAGAAAGGACAGAGTAAAACAGAAAGGAGGCGGAGTCGCGTGCTACATCAGAAACACAATCCCTTACAAAAGGTTGCAGATCCTTAACGATGAAACTCATGAAGCAGTGTGGTTGTCCCTGAGGCCACGAAAACTTCCCCGACGTTTTTCCTCCCTGGTCATTGGTTGCATTTATCACCCACCTGATGCAGATAACACATCAATGCATGACTACATTATCAACTGCGTGGATAGTATCCTGCATCTGCACCCGTCGTGTGGCGTAGTTGTGACAGGTGACTTTAATCAATTGAGAGACAACTTCCTTGGAACCCATTACGGCTTCAAGCAACTGGTTGAAACTCCAACACAGCAACAGTCAATTCTAGACAAGGTATGGACTAACTTGTCACCAGTTTATGATAAGCCGATCGTGATTTCCAAACTTGGAACATCAGACCATAACATGGTACTATTCTCACCATCAAATGCCCCGTCCCTGAACACTGGACACAAAGTGAAGGTCACCACTAGGTGTATGGGCCGGCAAGATAAAGCCCTCTTTGCATCAGCATTATCTGAGATCGAATGGGAGGAGTTGTATCACTCGGAAAGCTGCCGGGAGAAGAGTTCCATTTACCAGAGAACCATGAACTCGTTAATGGTGTCATGTTTTCCTACTAAGATAGTGACCCGGCATACCAACGACAAACCATGGGTCACCGATTCGTTTAGGAAATTGGTACAGAGAGGCCAGAGAGCAAAGATGGCAGGTAACATCGAGGTTGCAAGAAAGCTTCGTAACCAAGTCAATTGCTCTGCCTCACGCCTCCGACACAACTTCTATCAGTCCAAGATCGCGTCGTTGGAGAACTGCTCTACTAAAGACTGGTGGAAAAATATGAAGATGCTCATGGGTGCGTCATTAGGCGGAGAGAACAGTCTACAGGGTCTAGCTAACACAATGACAAATGGTGATCTTCAAGCACTTGCGGACAACATCAATGACTTTTTTGTCTCTGTTAGCAGTGATCTCCCCCGCCTGGACGAAACCAACCAGTATTCCAGACAGCAGACCCAGTGCCAGTAGAGTTCTACATTAGCGTCCGTACAACGAAAAAAGCTTTGGATAAGGTCAAAGTCAACAAAGCTACGGGATCGGATGGAATACCTGCATGGATCCTTCGTGACTTCTCAGACCTCTTAGCTGCTCCTCTAACTGACATCTTCAATAGTTCTGTTGAAGAAGGAGTAGTTCCCACCGTATGGAAAACGTGCCAAAGTCACACCCACCTAGGTCAGTAGAAAGGGATATCAGACCAATCTAACTGACTCCCATCGCTGCTAAAGTTTTTGAGTCCATTGTACTCGAATGGATGACCGTGCAGCTCAAGGACAAAATAGACCCCAACCAATTTGGATGCATATCCGGGACTGGCACTACAGACGCTCTTGTGGAAATGGTGCATCGATGGTACGAGGCGACTGACAAACCTGATTGCTTCGTACGGATCTTGCTGTTGGATTACTCAAAGGCATTCAACCATATTATTATTAATCATCATATCCTCATTCAGAAACTCACAAACATCGGCCTGGATCATCACCTAGTACGCTGGATGGCTGCGTTCCTGGTGGATAGAGCTCAACGCGTCAAAATTGGGCCTGTGCTGTCAGAGTTTGGTTACCCCAGTGGTGGTGTTCCGCAGGGAACATTATCTGGACCCAAGGATTTCCTGGTCCAGATTAATGACCTGGAAACTCCATGCTCTTTGTACAAGTACGTGGATGACAGCACTATATTTGAAATCTGCAAGAAGGGGTCTGCGTCAGCACTTCAAGAATCTGCAGACATTGCTTCCCAGTGGTCTCTGAGGAATGACATGAAAAGCAACGCTTCAAAGACCAAAGAACTCCTTATTTGTTTTTGTAAGGACCCATCTCATTCAACCAGTTTGCCTAACATATCAGATGACAGTAACACCATTGATAGAGTCACACAGGTCAAAGTTTTGGGAATAATACTGTCCTCAGACCTAACTTGGAATGCTCATGTTGACCACATAGTTCGTAAGGCTAGTAAAAGACTGTATATGCTGTATCAGTTGAAACGTGCAGGTATGTATCAAGCTGACCAACTAAAAAATGTCTTGTCAGTGATAGGACCGGTCATAGAACATGCCTGCCAAGTATGGCACAGCAGCTTGCCTAACTACTTGTCCAGCAAGATAAAAATGATACAGAAGAGAGCCATAAGGTGTATATACCCAGGGCAGAGTTATAACCCTACATTAGTTTCTCTCGGCATCCAATCACTGCATGAAAGACGTAATGAATTGTGCATGGCTTATTTTCAGAAACTCCAGGATCCGTCTCATAAATTACACAGCCTCCTCCCCCATCCCCGTGAAGTGTCATATAATTACACAGCCTCCTCCCCCATCCCCGTGAAGTGTCATATAATCTAAGATAATTACACAGCCTCCTCCCCCATCCCCGTGAAGTGTCATATAATTACACAGCCTCCTCCCCCATCCCCGTGAAGTGTCATATAATCTAAGATAATTACACAGCCTCCTCCCCCATCCCCGTGAAGTGTCATATAATTACACAGCCTCCTCCCCCATCCCCTGTGAAGTGTCATATAATTACACAGCCTCCTCCCCCATCCCCGTGAAGTGTCATATAATTACACAGCCTCCTCCCCCATCCCCGTGAAGTGTCATATAATTACACAGCCTCCTCCCCCATCCCCGTGAAGTGTCATATAATCTAAGATCTACTGTGACGGATGACGACAAAAAAGGACTCCTTTGATGACGATTTAAGAACTGTTTTCCCTTGTATTGTACCAATAGCAAATGTGTAGCAAAATGTGTGACAGGTTTGTACACTCAAGAAGTTTGTTGATGCTATGCTAATGCGAATGCGAATGCGGTTCAATCTGCAATTAATATAAAACCAAAAAATACAATAAGTCTCTAAAATTATGTCAAAATGTACCTGCACATACATGAATCAGTTACAATATGAACTAAATGTGTAAATGAATTAAACTGACTGATTTGATCCCCAAACTCATGAAATTGTGTCTAGCGTGAATTATTTCCTCATTAAAAAATACATGTATGTGTCCTAGTACATCAATGTTTACATTAAAAGTAATATTCAAGTATCCAAATTAACCTTGGTTGACAGTAATCCATATTTGAACTGATGAAACTGATGTAAGAATCATGTCACGTGCATTCAGTAAACGTGTATAAAACGTGCATCGCTAATTCTACCCAAATTTTATCCCCAAAAGTTGACCCAAAATAACTATATCTAATGACCGTAATTATTACCCCCCTTTATACACAATTATCTTTAACCCTTTATCTAAATCTCTAAACAATTATAAGTACTCACAACATTGGGCGTATCAAATATGACGCAAAATCAAAGGAACCTTTTTGACGGATTTCTACAAACTTAACAAAAATATGCGACAATGCTGGCGCGCTGAGAGCGCCCTCTGTTGACCAAGAAAATTCCACGCCTATGACGTCACGAACGAACTGGAAAACTTTCCTACCCGCAACATCTACCAATAAACTGCCCCTCCCCAGGACCCGCACAAATAGGTTTAAAAATTCTCTTATCCCATGGTGCCTTTTTAATCAGTAGCTTTTTAACCAGTAGCTTCGTCGAATGAATTTTTAAAGATAATTGCAGTTAATTTTAGATGTTTTTTTTTTCCTGAAAAACGTCTGTTTTTTTAATGCAATCTACTTTGCAGATCTGCCTGTTTCCTTATGTTTTAGCTCGGGATCATTGTTGTGGTATTTTGTATCTGTTAATTTTTCTGTGTGTATTTTAAGCTGTTATAATTATATGTAAAATATGTGTATACGTAATCAGAACCCACACAGATAGGTCTGAAAATTCTCATATCCCATTGTACCTTATTAATCGGTAGCTTTTTATCAGCAGCTTCGTTAAATGAGTTTTTTAAATAATTGCACTTAATTTTAAAATGAATTTTTATATCCTGAAAATAACTGGTAGTTTTTTAACGCAATCTCCTTTTTTTTTGATCTGCTTGTTTTCTTATGTTTTAGCTTGGGATCATTGTTCGTGGTATTTGTTAATCTCTTTAATGTGTATTTTAAGCTGTTATAAATTAATGTAACATTTGTGTATTATGTAATCCAACCTAACGGTTGCCAATAAACGTTGACATGGTCTATTGTTTCTGCATGGAGGAATAATTTCTTTACCGATTTCAACCAAACTTTGTCAAAAGTATCAGTAGCCCAACCCCAACATGTCACATGACCAACCTGGGGTCAAAGGTCATGGGGTCACTTGGGTCAAAAAGCTAATTTTTTTTAACTCAAGACACTTCCAGAATTTACATGGCACAATCACATGACTCGTGCGTGAACACGAATTTGTTGGCCTGCAGCTTCCGAGAACCGATCGAGCTTGTTTGATCCAGCACTATAAAACCCCTCTGTAAGCCCATTAGGCGTGGGCTTGCGACTGGGGCATGGTGGTGGATGGTGGTGTGCATTTTGGTTCCTTATTTTCTACACATGTGTTTGGCTGAAGGAGGAAGCCTAGTTTAGTTTGGCCTTGTCCATGTGCAAGATTCTATGTTCTTTACTTTGCACCATCACCACCACCATTACTTCACACCAAAGGGTCAGTGGTCTGCATAGTCTTGTGAGTATGTTCCAATTGTCTTTATCCTTGCACCCATAGTACGTTTTACCATAACTACTAGTAGACTATGGTGTCCATAGGCGTAGCCAAGGGGGGGCCAGGGGGGTCATGGCCTCCCCCTGCTGTGTGTGGTAAAAAAAAAAAAAAAAGGGGGAAAAAAAGAACGCAAAAAAAAAGGAATGTAATATAATGTACAAATATTAAAATAGATTTTTACCAAAACGCGAATTCTATTTTAAACGAAACTATATGAGTATGTTAATATGTGTAGTCCGAAATAAAAAATGCTACGTACGTGACACGTACATATCCATGTACACGTACCGAAGTGTATAATAGTTAGCACGCTTAGACTTACATTATTTTATTCATAGCATGCACGTAATGTTGAAGGTATAGTATTTTGTAACTTTGTGCATTTTGTTCGTTGGAAGAAACAAAAGTGCTCAAAATCTAAAGAAGGGTGCTGAACAATTAACTTGATGAAGCTTCAGCTGTATATTTTGAGAAAAACAACATTCTAGGATCTCGATTTCAAATCAAAAGTTGTTGACTCATGTTTTGAATTGGTCCTGAATTCAGCATCCGAGACACGTTCTCACTAGCCGATTGCAGCTAGCTACGCAGACAAAGTTATAGCAACCGGGCGCACATGTTCATCGTGTCAACGCTTGCGCGCGCTTCGCCGAATAAAAAAAATCGAACTATACTAAGGCCAAAAAAAATGTCTCCGGTTTCTGGTATGGGGCTTGCCCAAAAAGTGGTGCGACGACGCGGCTAAATTATTTTTTTACCTTTTTTTTTCTTCAAATGTTGGCTGATGACTGCAAATGGTGCCCGACTAAACTTAGTGCAAATATATATGGGAGTCCAGAGAGGCCACACAAAGCTTATTCTCGATCGTAACCCCATCGAAAAACACGTTAAGATTGAACAGCAGCAGGATTCCAGTCATACCAGTGAGTTTGGCGTTTTTGAGACCTCATCTTTCATTGAAAAAAAACCTTTTTCATTTTGCCGACGCGCATGGCTACGACTAAACTACTCGGATGTACCACTATCGGCCAAGATGGCGAAGCAAGTGAAAGGTTAAAATCGTGTGCTTTATTTTAATACCAAATATAATTGCTTTTGACAATGTGTTGTTATGGTGCGTCAAACAAAAATCATACTTTTTATCAACAAAAGTGATGGCCGATAGTTTTTAGGTGTACATTCGATTCTTAAAAAAGGCAGAAAGAAATGGCAAGTTTCAGTAGGTAGAGGATAGTGTACGCTTCATTTACATGTAAAACACGTGCCTTTTTTTTTTTCAAAATCGCCGGTTGAAGAATGAAGACTTTTTGCGAGATTTCATGATTTGCAGTCATTATGTACATGTACGTGTGTAAACTTACTTACGTACGTACGTATGGAGGCCTGAAAAAAATTGTGAAAAGCACGCACGAACGTGCAATGAACCTATGAATATTAAGCAGGCCATCCGAAGCTCGACCAATCAGTGGGCGTACATTTTTATTAGGGTCACAAGGTCATACCGTTTTTGGCTTGTTGAACAATGGCGACCATCTTTTTGCTTTGTAAAAATGGAGGTTGTTGGAAACATCAGGTGTGTACACTGCACATGGCTTTCTTAATATATTTGCGACATCACGTTCACGAGATTTCTTGTAGATGAAGATTCATTCTTTCCTTTGATTACCTCAAAATTTGGGAGACTTTTGTCGATGTCGACAAAAAAAAGGAAATTTCATCACATATTTTTTTTAGTTGATTTGTCCGTGAAATAAAATCGTCAAAATCCATCGAAATCCTTTTGGTTTTTTTTTGAGAAAAAAAATGCCGTCATAATATGTATGTATTAGGTCTTTTAGTACTTAAAACAACTTTGTTTGTATGGCTCTGTTGTGGTTTGGCATAAAAATCGCGAATTTTCTTAAAAGAAGCCCTTTTTTACGGACGTCGATCGCGGGCCTCGCGTTGCAGTCGGTTTGTGTGGACGAGAAATGCTACCAGCTACGCGAGACACGGCAACTGACTGGGTGACTTGCAACCTGTCACTTCAGCCACGTTGTACTACAGATTGGTGTAATATCTTAGGGAAATAACTGGAACGGACTCACCGTAAACCATAGACACTGATAGAGTAAGATTCGTTCATAGCGAGCTGCCATCTTGGAACTCCTTTTATTTGATAACATGTAGTTCGTGCCATACGACATCTCCCCCTTTTCTAGAACAAAATAAACTGGTTAAGAAAACACATTTACAATGCACATGATTGAGTCTGGGTGTTCAATGTTAGAAAGTGTCTGCAAAATGTTGAGTGTTCCAAATCAGCTCCTAGAGTCCAATGTTCTTGGTTCAAGCAGATTTCTAGAGTTCTTGAATTAAATCAGAATGAATTTGTAATTCAGAGATAAGTGCGAGATAATGCAACATTGATTGATTTTAACCGAGTAATGAGTGATTGAGTGATTGAGTGATTGAGTGATTGAGTGATGGAGTGAGGACAGTTCAGTGTTCTAGTACATGACGTAATCCTGCTGCCATGCTGGTGGTTTCCTCATTCGCTGAGACTGTCTCACTCCCTGTTGCTGAGCATCTGGGTTTTGTTGGACTGGATCCTCCAGTTGGATCTCGAAGTCTGGCTCAGGTGGTGGTTGTGGCATCCGGACAATATGCCGCCTGTTCCGACGATATTCTGCGCCATTCACTCTCACGATGTAAGAACGGGGTGTGTCTGCTTTACAGAGGACCTCTCCGATTGGACCAAGTTTGCCCTTTGTTCTGATCTTCACCCGGGCTCCTGTTTCCAGTTGATCCAATGCCTTGGCGCCATGTTTCTGGTTGAAGTAGACTTCTCCCTTGGACTTGGATGCAGCGTCTGCTTGTTTCAACTTTGTCTGGTTGATTGGTTTCTGAAGGAGATTCTTGGGCAACATTGGTAGGGTAGTGCGTAACTCTCGGCCCATCATCAGACTTGCCGGACTGACACCAAGACTTGGAAGTGGGGTCGCGCGGTATGTCATGAGAGCTCGTATGGGATCTGGTTGACGCAGGATACTCTTGGCCACATGGACAGCTTTTTCGGCCTGCCCATTTGCTTGGGGATAGTGTGGACTGGTGGTGATGTGGTTGAAGCCAAACTCTCTAGCAAACTGTTGAAACTCTCCCAGGAATTGTGGGCCGTTATCTGATACAACAACTTCAGGGATCCCATATCGTGCAAAGGTAGTTTTCATGAAGTTGATGACTGCTAAGGCTGTTGTCTTCACAAGGTGATGAATCTCGATCCACCTCGAGTAGTAGTCAACGATCACTAAGTACACCTTCCCTTTCAGCTCTGCAAGATCGCACGCGATTCGTTGCCATGCTCGTTGGGGTAAAGGTGTTGACATCAGGGGTTCCGCCTTCTGTGCTGGTTGCTTTTCTCTGCAAAACTCGCATTGTTGAATGTGCTGCGCGATGTCAGTACCGATTCCAGGCCACCATATGGCTTGATTTGCACGGAGTCGGCTCTTGGTGACCCCATGGTGACCCTCATGGAGTTTCTCCAGCATTTCCTGCTGCATCTTCTGTGGGATGATGATGCGGTCCCCATATGTCAGTATGCCGTTGATCTGGCTTATCTTATCTTGTTCCTCCCAGTATCGCTTGACATCAGGATCTACGTCCTTGATGTACTTCGGCCAGCCGTCTTTCACGTACGACGATACTAGGGACAATACGTTGTCTTGCACTGTCTCATCTGTGATTTCTGCAAGTTTGGCATCCGAGGCTGGCCACTGGCTTGTTACCATGCTCACGTGTGCTGCAATTTCTGCTGCGAGATCATCACTGTCATCAGATGTCTGGTCTGTATGAACTGGAGCTCTAGACAGGGTATCTGCAACGACTAGGGTCTTGCCTGGTGAGTAGACAGCTGTACAGTGGAATTTCATGAGGCGCATCAGTAAGCGCTGGCATCTCAGTGGTGCGTCACAGAGGTCCTTTGAATTGATCAAAGACACCAGTGGTTTGTGGTCGGTTTGTAGGGTCACGTGAAGTCCTCTGATGTAGACATAAAATCTCTCGCATGCCCATACGCTGGCCAACAACTCTTTCTCGATTTGGGCATACTTCCTCTCGGCAGGAGTCAGGGTACGGGAACAGTAAGCGACTGGCTTCCATGTCTCATCTTCGTGCTGCTGTAGTAAGCATCCTCCCAGCCCATAGCTACTGGCATCTGCGCTGACCATGGTAGGTTTAGCGGGGTCATAGAAGGCCAATGTGGGTGATCTGGTGAGGAGTGTCTTGAGGTGTCGGAATGCAATCTTCTGTTGTGCTCCCCACATCCAGTCAACGTTGTCTTTCAGGAGATCAGTGATTGGGGCTGCAACTGATGCTGCGTTCGGGATGAAGCGGGACAACCAATTGACCATGCCCATGAGCCTCTTGACTTCATCCTTTGATGTTGGTGGGGGCATCTGAACGATTGCTGTGATCTTCGAAGGATCAGCATGTATACCATCCTTGTCTAGCTGTAGACCCAGAAAGGTAACCGTCTCTTGAGAAAACTTTGATTTCTCTTTGTTTAGCCGCAAGCCAGCTTTCTGTAGGATTTGGACTACACGATGCACACGTTGATCGTGCTCTGCCTGTGTTCGGCCGGTGATGAGAATATCATCCATGTAGACAACTACACCATCCAGATTTACGAGTAGGTCACACATAATACGCTGATACAACTCAGGCGCTGATGTGATGCCGAAAGGGAGTCGCGTAAAACAGAAACGCCCAAATGGAGTTATGAAGGTTGTCAATTTCTGACTGTCACTAGCAAGGGGTATCTGCCAAAACCCGTGCTTTGCATCGAGTAAGGAGAACACTTGTGCACCAACAATCTTTCCCAAAACCTCTTCCAGGCTGGGGATAGTGAAACGCTCCCTCTGCACAGCTTTATTCAGTTGTCGCAGATCTACACAGAGTCGAATCTGGTTGTTCTTCTTGGGTACAATCACGATTGGAGCACACCACTCTGTCGGCTCAGTGATGCGCTTCACGATACCTTGGGTTTCCATCTTTTCCAGTTCTTGCTTCAACTGGGGAAGTAGGGGCAAGGGGATTCTGCGAGGAGCGGTCACACAGTATGGAGTAGCGGAGTCGGTTAACTTTATGTTAACCGGTGGGCCTTCAAGACAACCCGTGCCTTCAAACACGTTGTCTCGGTTCACCATGGTGTACACCCGCTGTATCAGACCAAGTGCTTCACATGCTGTCTTGCCAATGACAGGCTGACCACTGGCAAGAATCTGGAACACCAACGAGTACTGACGATTCTTCATTTCACATGACAGTTTCTTTTGTCCAAGAGGTTTGGCCTTGCCACCAAAGTAGCCATGCAAGCGAAGTGTCGTTGGCTGCAATGTCTTATCACTGAGTTTCAGTGATTTGTACACGTTAGCGGGTAGGATGTTGACTTCCGAACCTGTATCTAGCAGGAACTGCACCATCTGTCCCTGCACTTTGATAGGTTGTCTCCACACATCACCATTTAGTATGTCATGGCTGGTGTGATGCACTGTTCCAACGAAGAAATCATTAGTTTCAGTGTCCCCATCATCGCTGTCAGTTGGATCGTGCTGTACTGTATGCAACTTCTTCGGTTTAGCGCGACACACTACCGAGAAGTGACCAAGTTTCTGGCAGTAGTTACACTTTTGTCCACTTGCTGGACAGGATTGGTGGCTTGGATCTCTGCCGCATCTACTGCATCTCTTCCCGCCTTGTTGAGGTTTGGCACGTGTCTGTGGGGGTGGCTGTTTGAACGATGGCTTGTACGGTTGCTTGTACGGTTGCTTGGCGTTTCGGTGTAGTGCGTGAACTGATACTGTGTCGGCATTAGGGCTGTTCTTAAATTCACGCAAGTCCTTGACAGCTGTTTCAAGGGTTTTGGCCAAGTCCACGGCTGCTTTGAAGGTGAGACCATCTTTGGTGAGAAGATGTTTCTGGATATTGTTGCTGGTCAGACCACACACAAGCCTGTCTCGCAATGCGTCGTCGAGAAACTGGCCAAATCTACATGTACTGGCCAAGTTTTGAAGTGTCATGGCATACTGTGCAATGGTCTCTGATGGCTGTTGATCCCTTTTGTAGAAGCGAAAACGCTCTGACACAACCAGGCGTTTGGGTCCATAGTGGGCGATCAACAACTCACACAGTTCTGTGTATGTTTTCTCAGTTACTGGGGTTGGCTCTGCAAGACTTTTAGCAGTTTTATACACAGTTGGACCGACTGCACTTAACAGAACAGCTGTCTTTTTCTCCTGAGCAATGTCATTTGCTTGAAAATACAAGTTCAGCCGCTCAACATAGTTACGGATATCTTCCACCTCATCATATTTGTCGAGGCGACCGATCAGCGGTGCGCGAGAGTGCGCCCCCTGTTGTGGAGTTTGTGCCATTGTTCTGAACCGTCACTCGTGCGGTGAATTTCCGACGTAAAAATGCCCTTGTTACGTGTCCAAAAAGTCAAGTGACGTTAGAATACTATGCCCTAAATGTCCGCGGGTATATTAGAAACCCAGCGCTGCCACCATGTAATATCTTAGGGAAATAACTGGAACGGACTCACCGTAAACCATAGACACTGATAGAGTAAGATTCGTTCATAGCGAGCTGCCATCTTGGAACTCCTTTTATTTGATAACATGTAGTTCGTGCCATACGACAATTGGCCGTTGCAACATGACAATAATCAATCCAATTTCCAAACTCTGATCTACCATATCTATTTGCCATTTTAATATTATGCATTAGGCCATGGGCCAAAATCTGTATCAGGTCTAGAAGTTGAGGTTCGTCTTAACTTTTTGTTGTCAACTTGAAATAAGGTCAACTTTACTAATTCGATAGTGCTGAATCTGAATCTGGCTGTTCACATTGGCCCCAATTGCACATTAAAGTTATGACAACATTTTTTTTCCTCATTATTTTGCCCATTTTGGGTCAAAAAATAATTCTTTCAGAAAAACAAAAACAAATCACATTGGAATGTGCATGAATGAATAATGTTTTCGTGATGCAGAAAGAACGTACACCAATAAAACCAAGGTTTTCCAATCTGTTTTTTTGGAGTTCCTGAACACAAAACTTTCAACAGGTCAGTCAAACAACCTTTCCCCCATGCAAATCTGAAGATTTCAAAAAAATACATCAAAATCAAGTATTCTACCTATATTCATTCATTATTGAGAAGGAATTGTGTATTGGACTATCAAACCTGCAGCGATTGTAAATAAGGTGTGATGTCGGAGACATACTGACTACATGAAGTACATGTACAATAAATTCATAAACACTGCAGACATTTCGTCAACGACACCACGCAGTAACACCCGAGTGGGCTTGTGTGCGCTAGGCGCGTATTTTACAGAACCGAGTAATTTCCGTAACAGTGTTGTTACTTTGTGAAAACGAAAATTTGTCGCGCCAGTGTCCGAAGTGCGGGCGCACATTTGGGGTGTTACTTCGTGAAACGGTAACCACAATTTGTCATTGAGCGTTTTCACAAAGTAACACTGGAGTAGACTTGGGTGTTACTTCGTGAAGTCGGTGACAATTTAAATCTTCTGATTGGTCCCAAGCCCGTCAGGACCGGTTTTAAATTACTATGGTTGAAGACAAAGACAAATTTTAACTCGTGTTGCACACAGTAAAATCGATCAATACAAAAAAAAATTAACAGGCCCGTACGCTTGGGAGGGGTGACGAGTTCCGCTCAGAAATAAAAACAAAAAAATGCCAAGAAAAAAAAATCAACTTTGATGACCCACCACCACCCCCCTTTAAAATCTAACCTTAAAGTTGTAAACACGAGCAAATTTGATTCAGAGTCAGAAGAAAGTGGCCAAAGAATGCCTCAGATTGCACCACAGAGCATCTAGAATCCAAAATTTCCCGGGGCCCTTAAGCAGGCCCCAGACCCCACGCCGTAAAGGCTTCGCGCTTCGCGCTCGCATTCAGGTTGGTAGAGACCAGTCACACTTGGGCCCCCCTGCTCCAAATTCCTGGCTACGCCTGTGATGGTGTCTCATCGTAGTGGTCCCCAATTCACATTATTTGCTCTGTCAGTAACTAGCCATTTTTAAATATTATATATGAATCATATTAATTTGCATGCTCTCCACTGGTTAATTATTTTTTAAGCAAAGAAGCGCTAATTGAATTTCAAGTATTTCTATTTTCTGATATTGCGTATATATGGTCCCTTTGTCTGTTATTTTCTGATCAACATCCATGCATTTTAGATTAAGGTGGCCGTTACAATAGCATTCACACAGTGTTACTGCAAACCTCACATTCATTGTTCATGTCCACCATGCCGACCTTTAAGTCTCATTTGTATATGATGCAGTGATATTGTTTCTCCGCATTTACCTGTGCTCCGTACATGTACATTTTAACGTGATGTGCACGAGTCTATCTATGCAAAAGTTACATGCAAGGCTTATTCAAGGCTAATATTTGTTATATAACTGACATACAGATCCTAGTCATTTGATTGGTGGAACTCACCTCACATGACATTCGTTATTGCTCCCATTCACGCCGCGGCTTCAAACATTTTCGTGAAGGGGTAGTTTGGACTAGAGAAATAGATTTTCCTCCAGTTTCGTATTGAAAAAGAGTTCAAATGTATCAAATGACAAGGATCTATATGTCAGTTATATAAAACAAATATTGAGTGGCTTTAAATTGTGAAATGGTAGGAATATTATCGCTCGGTAAAATCTGGACTTTTCCAGTTCATTCGGCTTCGCCTCGTGAAATGGAAAAGTCCACATTTTACCTTGCGATAATATTCCTCCCATTCCACGCTGAGCCACTCAATATTTGTATACAATTGTCGATGCTATTTGTATGTAATTTGCGTTTTAATGAAATAGTCCAATTACTCATATTGAAACTTTGCACAATCGTATTATTCAACATAGAACGTGTGGAAGTGACTAGTCTTTATCATATTATGAACTTATCACTCATTTAAAACTCATACTCGGGTATGCCAATACAGCCAGTAAATTATGTAACTTTGTTCGTGTATGAAATTGAGCATTAACATGAATGCAGATGGACAATCAAAGCATAAACACTTAAAAAAATAAAAAAATTTAAAAATTGTAAAAGCCTTATGTTCTGTTCACAGAATAGGCTGTAAAATAGCCATACTATAAACTTTGCCTTATTGATGTATATTTCTGTCACATAAGTGAGAGTATTTTATGTAAATATAGAAAATGTTGACACCATGTTTATGGACTGTTTTGAATACAGATCGACCTCCTCTTCTCTTGGAAGTGACGAGCCTTCACCATGATGTATGGTTTGGCGGATTTCCTTGGCATTTTATGTATGTACCACACACCAATGACAGACTATTAGCACCAAATTCTGATCCTGGTACGGAGACGTACATAGTGGCTAGTGTGGCAACCAACCAAATGGTATGTTTGAAGTAATTTTTGTGTCGCCCAAACAAAGTTTCGGGAGACACTTACCAACTAAATTCTGTATGTCCGTCAGTGTTGTAGTACTCGTACTCAAGTACTACCCGAGTACTTTTTTGGAGTACTCGTACTCATAATCGTACTCAAATGTCAAAGTACTCGTACTCGATATGACGGTACTCGGACTCGAGCAGCAAAGTACTCGTACTCGCACATGTCAAAATTGTACTCGATCATCAAAGTACTCGTACTCGAATAACAGTACTCGATAAAACAAAGTACTCATACTCAAATAGCGGTACTCGATAAAAAAAATGAAGCTTATGGGTTTGTGGCTCAGGGAGGCCATGCAGGAGAGAGTTGCAGAAATCCAGCCTAGATGCAACAAAGGTGTGGACAAGTTTAACAGTGCTCTCATCATCAAGGTGCTGTCTAATTCGGCCAATACCACGAAGTGCAGCAAAAAACAAGTGACATATGCTGTTGACATGATCCGTCATGTGAAGGTTGTCAAGACTCCTTGCCGACTCATTAGGATGAATTATTTGTTGGCCTACAACGAGTGATGGAGAGTCCGAGGAACCATGAGATGGTTGAGAGTTGATCCTAGAAGTCATGTGTAGGAGCTCTGTTTTACGACTGTTTAGGCACAGCTTGTCGGAAACAGAACAAGAATGAACATCGTTCATGCATTCCTGTAGCTTACGAACTGCGTATTCTCTCACACTAGCATTAAAGTCGGGGTTGGCAATTTGTTTTATTTTATTTTGTTTTAAATTTTAAAAAAATCAGATTTTTTTTATTTAAGTAAGATTTTTTTAATTTAAATAAGATTTTTAATTTTTTTTTAAACTTTATATTAATATATTATAGTCTCAAAATTTTTCTAAATCTTCCCACACACCCTTACACCCATCAAAAAGGAGTTTTCAGGTTCCTATAATACCCATCATCCACAAAACTCAATTCAGTATTCGAAAAATTTCCAGAGACAAAAATTTGCAATTATTATTGATAATGCCTTTGAAAAAAATGATATTGAATGAGTGATTTAAAACAATATACATGTACATGTAGTCAGCCTCATTGGTGCCAGGGTACATTAATACTGAAGACAATCTAACGATGCAGGGCTTGATTGCCTTTGAGATACATGTATGTTGTGTGCATAAAAAATGTGTTATTTATGGTACATGATATACCAAAAACAGTTCTCCCTGGGCATGTGTATTTCATAAAAAAAATTTAAACGACATTTTAAACATCAATCATTGTGAAACTTGTAGAAAGAATGTTTGATTGATGGTCCTTCATACAAGGTGGAGAACATAATATGATGATATCAGGCCTTGCACCTTTCAAGGTATAATCTAAATCTAACTTTGTATGGAGAAAAGTTAGAAATGAGACTATCAATTGGGACTTTAATAAGGGAATAAATGTGTGTTTCGGAGGTATTACAACATCCTGTTTAAAACCGGTGTGAGTCTGGATGGATTTATTCCCATTCATAAATACCTGTTTGGTCAAAAAACCAAATCTTTTCGGTCCAAAAATCAAAACAAGTCAAAAACTAGACGCTGCCAACTATTTTGTTCAACAATTTTACTTCATGTTTTACAAAACACCCCTCTGACTATCATATGGAATGCCCCTCCACAATTGCATGCGCGTTGCGCATTCTACCTCTATGGTCGCACGTACTGCGCGGTGTCGCGCAAAACGCAGCTGGGCTGGTGTAGTGTGAATATCGGACTATGAAATAATGATTCACTGGTAGTATTGCGCATGCATACGTGGGGAATTTGAACGTTCAACCAATGAAACGTAAAAGGCATCAGATTTCATGGATTTTTACTAAAAGGTGATTTTAATCAGTGATTTTTATAGAAAAATCATTGATTTAAATCAACGTGATTTAAATCAGCCAACCCTGAAAAAATTTGAAGTCAATATACAGGGTGTCCTGAAAATAATGGTGCATGTAAACCCAGCCATTTTGCCACTTTACAACCAGAATTTACTGCAAGTGTTTACACGATCTTCAAGGTTACAGATTTAGCTTGAGAATATTGTTTGTTTAATTAAGATTGATTTTGTAAATCCAGAGATATGTTTGAATAACTGCAAAGAAAAAAAAACATTCTGTGCCACTTTTAGGAAGCGAGTGCTTCAAAGATCAGACAATGCCAGTATAGCTCTTTTGATAAGATTATCCCTATATGGGTGTAAGACAAACATTCCATTCAGTACGGCAATGTAGGGTTTTGTTGTTATGTTGAAACAATTTAATAGTACAAACAGGTTCACTTCTTTAAAACTTCAATGAAAGAGTTCAATTAAATATAAATAAATATTGCACACTCTGCTTAAAAATGTTAAAATCACTAACAGTAAAGTGATTTGGTTTTAGACTAGGACTATGGGCTCCGTGCGCCAACGAAAGAGGGTGCCCTTTTACCTAGCAACGACGTCCTATGGGCGGGACATTTAGCTGGTTGACATGACCATTCCTTGTGTGTGATGCACGTACACCAGGGGATTTGTACTATGCACACGCAGTGGTACGTACGGCCGCGCAATGTGGCAAAATTGCAGTCAGGCAAGATGGTGTCAGTCAATCACCCCCAACTGTACTTTCTTTGCTGGTGAGAGGGTACTTGTGAACGGAGCGGATACTGATTTTAATTGCTTCACAGAAAGTGGCACAAAATGGGTTTCTTGGCTTTGTCGTTATTCAAACATAGTGTAATGAAAATAGCCCTTCATCATTACCTTCCTCCCCACCTTCTATTTTTGGTTTAGCCTGCCCCTCTCATCCATCACACCCCCTGATCTGAGTGTGTATCAGTCCAGCCAGGCATGCAGCATCTTATTTGCATAATTCTATTGTAAGCCCCATGTGCATGGAATAAGCCATTTGCGTGTTAAAGGGAATATACAACATTTGCAAACATCGAAAAATAAAACTACCAAGTTTTTGCGAAATACCTTAATAGGACGTTGGTAAATGACAGTGTAAAGCATCCTGTAAAATTATGGCACCTGGTATACTGTCATTTTCAAGAAAAGTGGTATTTTTGTATCAATTTCCAACGCTGATCGGCCGATCAGCGTTGGAAACAACTGGCTTTTTTTCAAATACTGGCCCCAATTGACTATTGCACTTGTTTGCAATCGATTACAAACCTATAAACGGGTACGAGCCAGCTAGACTGGTTCCCTGACCTTACAATTCCCCAATGTATGTAAACTCCTCTGTTTCTTCTTATATGGAGTCAGGGAACCAGACTACAGGTAAATGATCGTTTTTCTTGGTTTTTATAGCATTTTCGAACCCAAAACCTCCAAAAAGTCAGTGTAACTATATTTGCTTTATATTTCCAATCCCCCAATTCCATCCATTTCTGAAAATTACAGCAAAAGCAAATGATGTATATTCCCTTTAAATTTGAATAAAATCTGGAACGCTGACTTTGCACGTTTTAACCTAGCATTCTCCCGACCAAAGAGACTGTTACTATATCACGTGATTCGGGGCAAGCCTTATACTAGCAACCCCCAGCTCCGGCATGGTCTGGTGTCTTTGTGCCATTCTCACCCATTGTGAACAATGTATTGGTGCTGAGCGTCTCTTACGTAACTATGCAAGAGCTTGCCCCGAATCATGTGATTAGCAACAGTGTCTTTGGTCTGGAGAATTCACAGTTAAAATGTGCCAAGCATTCTGAGCAAGTCATTGTACCAGACGTTTTTCAAATGTAAATCCCAAAGGGTAAAGGTTACACGCAAATGGCTTATTTGAACTAGCCATGTGTGCTTCAGTCTGCTGGGTGCTGTGCTAGGGATAGGTTGTCTTTGGAGGGCTGTGCAGGTTTTGTCTGGGCATGGCAAGGAAAGGCCTTGATGTAATGACCACGTAAGTTGTAGTGCATGACAACTTTTAAATCCCCCTGGGTTGGGAGTAGAGTTATGGTGCTTTTACCATAAGCTACCCCACTCACACTGACCATCACCGAGGCCCGCCCTTTGTATTTACTCATAATTGATTATTTTCCTTGCATTTATTTCTACAACAAATTCCTTTATTCTTACTTTAATTAAAGAACTTAAATCGTAGTTGCCCCTAAAATTAGAAGTAATTAGTAATAATTAGTAGAAATAAGTAGACGGATCCAATCTTTCTTAATAAATTTATTTACTTGAAGCCTAAACATCTTCTCTCTCTACCAAGTTATTTGTTTGTCGCGCTGCGGCACCTGACCATGCTACAATATCTTTGGATTTACAAAAGCAATCTCAATGAATTAAACGGAATTCTCTAGCTCAATCTATTACCTTGAAGATGGTGTAAACATCCGCAGACAATTTTGGTTGTAAATTAGCAAAAATGGAGGGGTTTACATGCGCCATTTTTTTTCAGAACTCTGTACAGTTGGGTGTCATCTGCATAAACTGCAGCATGAATATCGTGAGAAGATATCACGTCTTCCAGCGACGCAGTATACAGAGCGAATAGTAAGGGGCCCACCATGGGAGCATGATCATCAATGTCTTGGAGTGCGCTCCTGTACTGGTTGACAATATTATTGACTCCATCGGCTGGCTGCCGAAAGGAGGGGTGAATTGTTGATATTCTGTCGTACACTATCCATATCTATGTTGTTTTTGTTCTATGTATGTTTATGGCATTTGATTTGTTTCGTAGTTGGGGATGGACGGGTAATCGGTGATCAGATGGAAGGTCGTCACAGGTAGATAATGAGTGGATCAAGCTGTTGTCCTTGCGAGAAATTAGTAAGTCAAGGGTGTGGCCATTGACATGGGTAGGGATACCTACTGTACATGCTACACTAGATCATGAGTCTCCGGTAGCTGCCTGACAGTCATGGCAAAATGGTCATCCTTCTGATTGACATGAATATTGAAGTTACCTGTCAGCAGCAAGCGTGATTCATGCATAGCAACCACATCAAGCAGAAAGCTCCATTCATTCAAAAACATCATTGGTGTGAACTTGTTCTTCCGACTGGGCGGGGGTCTGTAGATGACACACAGACGTAGTGAAGTTGAGGATGTCGTAAGCTGTACATCCATGCACTCATATGACGTGAAGCTCGGTGTTTCATTGAGTTTAACTTGAATACCAAGTCGTACCAGGATAGCCACCCCGCCTGATCGACCATTTAGTCGAGGTACGTGATGCAAATCAAAGTTGGGCAAATGCTGCTTGAGGTCAGCAATAATACGATCGTCACGGTCATCTCCCGTCAGCCAAGTTTCCGTAATCGCAAGAACATCTAAGTTGGGATGTATAACAAAGTCACAAAGAGCAGCAGACTTCGATTTGGCTTTGATAGAGCGTACATTCCACAAAGCAAAACGCAGTCGCGAGGGAGATTTGAGATTTCCAGTCATGGAGATCTGCACCAGGTTATTATTATTCTGGTTTATTCATATAAAAACACGAGGTAGGCAGCCACAAAAGAGTCACTGATATAACCATGTTTACACTTTACAGGAATTAAAAATTGTTAAATAGCAGTTAAATGGAGTAGAAGCATAAAATTACAACAAAGTATAGGATCATGTATACAGCACAAAACAGCACAATATTAAAAAAAACTGAATTATAAACTTTTTTAAAAACTTCAAAATTGAAGACAGATCATTCAGGGAAGATGGTCTTAATAAGAAGTACTCACTTGCACCTACATTGTAAACAATTAAGAATTACAAAAGTTTAGCTAAGACAGGAATTGTAGACTTCATGTATCTATCAGTCTTGCACTTGGGTACAACTAGCGTAGACGTGGAACTGTCTCTGAGTATTCTGGTAGTGGTGTTATTCAATTTAAGAGGGGGGAGCATATTTCTAAATCTGGGGGAATGTAATAGTTTTGTGCCAAAGTTATACAGTAAGGTGTCTCTCCTAGTTTCAAGGCTAGAAATACCTAGAACGTCCAAAGCATTGGAGTAACTGTGATACTGATGAGAGCCTAACATAATGCGACAAGCACGTTTTTGTACATTTTCAATTCTATAAGCCAGTTGTTTACTTATCGAGGTATGCCAGACTTGGCTGGCATACTCTAAAACTGGTCTGATGTAGCATATGAAGACCGAAACTAAGTCAGCCAAGGGAGCGTCATATTTCTTTAAGATACACAAGGTAAATAATCTTCTAGAGGCTCTAGAGACAATATCAGCAACATGAATGTCCCATTTGAGATCACTCTGAATCGTGACTCCCAAAAGTTTCATGTGATTAACCTTGTTTAGGGATATGTCATTAAGAGTAAACATGGGGTTAGGTGTAACTCGTCGTAGGAAACAGATCTTCATTACTTGACATTTAGCAGGTTTGCTTAACATCGTTAGCTTTGGACCATTCTGAAAGTTCATCAAGATGGGATTGAAATTGAGCATTTTCACCATATTTAACTATATCCCCGAGGGTCAGGTCGTCCACGTATTTCCAACGTCTATGGCTTCCAATGGCAGCATCGTTAACTAGGACCAGAAATAATATAGGGCCTAACTTAGTTCCTTGCGGAACGCCACAATCAATGGTTTTGACAGAGGAAGTGTGATTACCGAGTTTGGTATTTTGGGTGCGATTGGAAAGGAAGCTGCAGACAATTGGAATAATTGAACTTCTAACCCCAAGGTTGATAAGTTTCTTGATAATGATATTATGATTGACAAGATCAAAGGCTTTTGTGAAGTCAATCGCAGCAAGGTAAGCATACTGATTAGGTTTGTCAAGTCCCTCGTATACAGAATTTAACATATCCACCAGGTAATGAGTGGTACAGCTTTCCTTAATGTTACCGTATTGTTTTGGATCAAGTTTTACAGAAATATCATTAATAATGCATTTGGCAATAAAAGATTCAAAAATTGGAGCTAACACCGGTGTCAAGGAGATGGGCCTCAGTTGATCAAAAGACAAAACATGTTTAGTTTTAGGAACTGGTATGATAGTGGCAGTCTTCCACAATTCAGGGAAATTACCCTCCCTCAGGCAAGAATTGAATACACATGTAAGTGGAAGGGCAAATTCGGGAGCGAATTCTTTTATCAGTCTGATAGGTAAGTCCGAAGGATGACCAGCCTTAGAGGATTTCAGTTTTTGAAGTGCTTTCAGAACCTGCCCTTGATAAATTACTGGAGGTGGTGTTTCTGCTGGCAGGTATGCAGGAAGACTTTCAAGCGCTAAAGCTGGTAGCTGATTGCATATTTCGGCAAATTGATTGTTAATAGCTTCAACTGTTCCTCTAGGATTCAATGTAGCTCTGGGAATAGTAGATGGTTTGGATTTAAGATGACACATCCTCTGTATGTGTTTGTGCCATTTAGCTGGCTGACTGTTCCTGAGGTTGTACACAGAGTCTGCGTAGAACTTCTTTTGGCTTTGATTATGAGTTGATTCACTTTGTTGCGCAGCATACACCATTCCCTCTGATCACCCCGAGTAAAAGCTTCCTGGCAGTTTCTGATAAGTCGTTTAATTTGTATAGTCATCCATGGCTTGTCCTTGAATCGCAATACTGAACGGACTTCGAGAAAATGTTCCTCATAGGCGTCATTGATGGTAGATGAAAAATCCCTGAGCATGGCATCAGCTGACTGGTTTGAAGTGATGCTGTCCCAATTACAGCCAGTCACCCATTGCCCGAATGACCGTACTGAAAAGTCTCGGTAGGGGCGCCTGTAGGTGGAAGTAGGCTTCACCGGTGGATATTCAGTCATTGGATTGATGAGAATACAGCAGTGGTCACTACGTCCAATTGGTGATACCGGTAGTCGTTTGGGTTCAGTAAAAAATGTGGGGTGGTTGGTAAACATCTTATTCAGTATTGCATTGTGCCGAGTAGGAAAATTGATCACCTGTTCCATATGTAAATTGCTCTCAATGGTGTAACTGTAGTTTGGAGATCATTAAAGTCTCCTAGTAGAATGATTGTGGCAGTTGCATCAATTGATTGGATATCGTCCACAGTTTGGAAAATGTGCTCAAGCATTTCATTGGCATAGGTAGATCCTGGAGGATAGTAAATCACTCCAATGTTACTGTTCCCGAACACCACATTCAGATCTTCGGAGAGGTTTAGACAAAGTACAGGGGACAAGCGTCCTGATATTCCACTTTTATTTGTGGCAACCACCTCTGTATGTTCTACAAATCATTGTCCACCAAACTGGCTTTCGAACAAGTCATGACAAATTTATTATAGCATGCTCTTGGTGGGGGTGGGGGGTCTCAAGGAGGTCAGTGTTGAGGTAAATATAAAAGAGATTTCAGATAACAAATTGACTATCAGCTAGGTCGAGGTTAAGGTCACTATCCCTCTATTTAAACCTATGTGTGTTTTGTGATTTTTTGTCTCTCAATGAAAATGGCAATGAGTCGGTATCAAAAGAAGTAAAGCTAGCTTTCGGTGTGCAAGGTGGCAAAGGCTCAGATGTTGTTGAAAATATTGACCAGGTAATAATTTTTCATGAAAATAATTTCAACAAATTTCCTTCAAGGTGGATAGGTTGGTATTTGTTTTAATGGTAAAACATACATGTAACAGATCGATTGTATTGTGGTTTGGAAAACATATGTATACCCAAACAATGAAGAAAAAAATGATGTGAGATACACATCAGTTTTGGCATGTTTATGTTAAGTGTTCAGTGGAATTGAATTAAACACTCACATTTGGAACCAGTAATTTTTTACTTTTAGGGAAAAAAGAAGGATAAACTAATCAGTTTTGTTGTTACATTCCTACTTTTCAAACTTGGTTTTGGCCTGATCATGAGAAAGAGTTATGCATAAAGTGCGTATTTTAATTTCATGTTTTTGCAAAATACCATCATTTAAAGTGTCTTATTTATGATCATTCAACTATTTCCCCCCATCATATCTGTCATTCACACTGTTGGATATTGATGAAGGTATGAAAGTAGTTATTAATCTCTGTTTTCTTCTTGATCTTGATAAAAAGGTGGAGAGTGGCATACTGCAAATGGATTCTGACGCGGAGGATGATACCATGGCCTTTTTTCACATGGATGACTCACAGAGAATTATTCAACTGGGTGATTATGACATGATGTAAGTCAATTTTCATTTTCTGTATGAACTACATGTACTTGTCAAGCATATCTACTATATTTCATATTGTACCTATACAGTTGTACAAAAAATTATGATAATGCGATTGAAATAAAATTGTGCTATCAATTTGTGCAATTATGAGTCTGAAACAGTTCCTTTGTCATTGTGGGTATGCTTTTAGTTGTCTTTTGTTTCATCTGTATATTAAAGATAACTTCTGTTTAATACGTTTGTTTTTGTTTTGTTTAATAGCACACGTACCACAAACAACTAACTGGATGGACATCATTTTTATTGATGTGCACAGACTCAGGGAATTATTTTTATTGTATGTCCCTGGCATATTACGTACCATAATGAAGCTTATGAATTTCACAATATAATTTAAACAAAGTTATGTCAGGCAGATTTTGCAGCCATTTTTTTTGGCCTCCATTTGTTGAAAATATGTTTTGACTTGCACACACTTGTGGTATGATCCCCAGTTTGTCACTTGGGAAAATTATTCTTATTCATGGAAATAAAACCAAGTGGAAAAAAAACTAAATTTAGTCTATTAGGAGCAGTATTTTGGGAGAAAAAAGTTTTCTATTTTTGTTTTTCTTTTCATGTGATGGTTGGTGTAAACCATCTCCAGGAAATAATGGTAATTCCTCTTTTCCTTAAAATGACTGCATACTAAGCGTAACAATGTCACATGATATTTGATGATAGTTTGGCTGTCTTGTTTTGAAAGATTGCAAATGGTAACCATTACCTTTCAGATCATGCTTTTCAAGGACAGGGAAACTTGCAATATTTCTTCACACGTTGATTTTAAACAGAGTCCTAAGTGCATAACTACAACCACCTATGTCAAAATAATGTGGTTGTTTTTCATTCATTGTTAAAGGCAAGAATTCTCAGATATACAGGACTTATCTATTTTCTGGATTACACCCATAGTGTGAATGCATTTCATACCAGAGATGATGGGAAGAGTGAGTTACAGATTGTATACAGAGTGAATCCTCCAGTCATGAAAACAAAGCTTCAAGGAGAAAAAGAACAGATGACAAATTGGGAGACAACGTTATCAGGTCGGAGAGTGAGTACTCAATGGCGGAAACAGCTAAGAGTACGAAATGTGAGTGTCACAATGTAGTAAAACTTGTGTTTGTTGAATGTCTGAAGAGCCACTTTAGCAAGTAGGGATTTGAGAGAGGAAACACATTACCCTGTCTATAGTGTGTGAACATTACCTTGTACTTGTGTTGGTCTTGTGTTGGTCTTGTTTGGTCTTGTGTTGGTCTTGTGCTGGTCTTGTAGTGGTCTTGTGGTGGTCTTGTGGTGGTCTTGTGGTGGTCTTGTGGTGGTCTTGTGGTGGTCTTGTGGTGGTCTTGTGATGGTCTTGTGTTGGTCTTGTGTTGTCTTGTAATGGTCTTGTGGTGGTCTTGTGTTGGTCTTGTGTTGGTCTTGTGGTGGTCTTGTGTTGGTCTTGTGTCGGGTCTTGTGTCGGGTCTTGTGGTGGGTCTTGTGGTGGTCTTGTGGTGGTCCTGTGTTGGTCCTGTGTTGGTCCTGTGATGGTCTTGTGATGGTCCTGTGTTGGTCTTGTGTCTGGTCTTGTGGTGGTCTTGTGGTGGTCTTGTGGTGGTCTTGTGGTGGTCTTGTGGTGGTCTTGTGGTGGTCTTGTGGTGGTCTTGTGGTGGTCCTGTGGTGGTCCTGTGGTGGTCCTGTGGTGGTCTTGTCTTGTGGTGGTCTTGTGATGGTCCTGTGGTAGTTTTGTGGTGGTCTTGTGGTGGTCTTGTGATGGTCTTGTGTTGGTCTTGTGTCTGGTCTTGTGTCGGGTCTTGTGGTGGTCTTGTGGTGGTCTTGTGGTGGTCTTGTGGTGGTCTTGTGGTGGTCCTGTGTTGGTCCTGTGTTGGTCTTGTGATGGTCTTGTGATGGTCTTGTGGTGGTCTTGTGGTGGTCTTGTGGGTGGTCTTGTGATGGTCTTGTGGTGGTCTTGTGGTGGTCTTGTGGTGGTCCTGTGGTGGTCTTGTGGTGGTCTTGTGGTGGTCCTGTGGTGGTCTTGTGTTGGTCTTGTCTTGTGTTGGTCTTGTGTTGGTCTTGTGTTGGTCTTGTGATGGTCCTGTGTTGGTCCTGTGTTGGTCTTGTGGTGGTCCTGTGCTGGTCCTGTGCTGGTCCTGTGCTGGTCCTGTGCTGGTCCTGTGCTGGTCCTGTGCTGGTCCTGTGCTGGTCCTGTGCTGGTCCTGTGCTGGTCCTGTGCTGGTCCTGTGCTGGTCCTGTGCTGGTCCTGTGCTGGTCCTGTGCTGGTCCTGTGCTGGTCCTGTGCTGGTCCTGTGCTGGTCCTGTGCTGGTCTTGTGGTGGTCTTGTGGTGGTCTTGTGGTGGTCCTGTGTTGGTCTTGAAATGGTCTTGGAGGTCTCAACTACAAAACTGGTTCAGTGATGATGTTACATTTTGTTGAAGTGTTTATATAAGTTTATTTTGAATTAGGAGAAAATAAAGTCTGCAGTTGCTATACTTTGGTGAAAGAGGGAGAGGGGAGTTGCCTCCCTGGATTGTACTATATTTGTGCTAGATAAAGTTCTTTCAACCTGCGTTCATGTGTTGGGCGATGCCGTGTGAGAATAAAAAAAACCATTTGATTGCATTTGCTAACAGAACCACCGTTTCCAGTAAGCATAGCAAGAGGCACGCTAACACATAAATAGAAATCTCTATGTGTGCACCGTGTGCACAATTTTCTGCTATTGTTAGCACAACTGTTCTGCTTACAGATAAACAATGCCATGAAATGTGGCCCCGTTCTCATTTAACATGCTCTATGGAATTGTACCATGGTCTTGATCTATGTTGATTTAAGTCAAATTTGTCTGTTAAGTAACTTTATGAAAAGTGACTTTGAATTGTTTCTTTCCCACTTTCCAGAAAATCAGAGATGTTAATTATGACAGTGAACTTGACTTCTTGTTGGTGACATTTGTAACAACAGCTGGCTATTCACCTGTGGGAGCTAACGGAAAAGTAGGAATCCACTGTAACCAGACGGGCCGGTTGCTGAAGATGGCAGACCTGGATACTGTGGATTGTCATGTACCTGTATGTCTTTTTCCTTATTTTGAGTGCACAATTGCGGAAACGCCTTTTGTTTTTATTTTTTAAAATTTTATTGGCTTTTCCGCATAGTTGCGAAAAAGCCTTTAGTTTTTGTTCTGTCCTAGCACTTTTCCCCATGCCTAAACACAATCTACATGCACTTGTAAGTTGTTTGTTGTGTCACATTCAGAACAAACAGCCAAGTCGTGTACAGACTGCAGGGTTCTTCTACCACAACATGAGGGATTTGTACACAGCTTACTTAATACTTACTGAAATTGAATAAGGCAAGGAACTTGGTCATAGGGTCCAAAAATGTTGTTGTGATCAATGAGGAATAACTGCACAACCGACAATTTTCAAAATTGACCTCATGATTTTGTGGTTATTTCAAAAATAGTCAAACAGACACTTTTTTTTGGACATACTGTATATCAGACAGTGGTTACAGAGAGGGCTGTGTTGGACGTGTGATACTCAGAATACTTTTTCACAGGCGAATTTACTGCAAACCTGTTTTAAAGTTACACATCTAGTTTGTTTTAGTGCCACTTCAGATAAAATGCACCACTTTTAAACGTCTTCCCAAGGAGATCACAGTTTAATGCAGCGTTGAAGGGCCTAACATTACTTTAAAGGTGCATGTCACAAATCTGTTTTCCTGGTAATACTAATGACTACTATACCTAAAGTTTGGCCAAAGTGAATTATAAACCAGTGGAACATGTATGCTTTTCTAATTATACATAATTGGAAATGCAGGGTTTCCAAAACTTAAGTATTTTGTCTTGTGACTTAGTAAATTTGCCAGTGTCTAAGAGCAAAAATAATTCCAAATGCACCAGTTATATTTAGAATTTTCCTCTTTTGTATTGGCAAGTATTGCAAACCTGGTTTACAGGTATCAAGCTTGTTTAAGTGAGTGCCATTTCAGTAAAGATTCACCACTGTTAAACATCTTGTCCTTTCATGAACAAAGCTCTCAGCTTTTAATGCAGTTATGCAAACATATCTCTAAAACTACTGAAGCTGTGAACTTACTTTTTGGACTAAAAATGCTACTCTATGCACAGTTTTAAACAAGCAGTATAGGTAATGAATTGTCCTCGTGTCTTTTAAGAAAATGGAAAAAATAAAAAGGTTCATGATTACTGATTGCATGAGCAAGAAATAAGGTTTTTTTTTAAATAGGACTTTTTAGGATTTGGGGATTGTTTTGCCACTATTTTTTTATGCTTTAATTAACCTAATGTAATCACAATTGTAGGACAGGTAACTCCAAGTCATACTTTTCTAATTATCTCATTATTATCTCAGGGTCTATTCTTTGAAAACAAAATGATAAATCGTCCCTTTAAGAATATGCATTTTTGGACCCTGTGAGACTTTTTTGTGCAACCTTTCCCATAAAACTCTCTCCCCCAATTTTGGAAAATGTTCTTTTATACTCCAAGATTCTCAGAACTTGACTTCTTCCATCTCGGGGTAATAACCTTAGGAACTTGGACAAGTTATCCACCATAAGATGTAGAACTAGTCGCTATAAAAATGTCCAATCTCACTTTTTCACTTGAATTTTAAACAAGCAATATTTTTTTTCTGCTGAGTGTCATCAGGGTTTTTATTGTTGTGTTTGTCTTTTTGTCCATTATTTGCATAACATGTGTCGTGTTAACGTGTCTGTGTCTTCCTTGATTGTCTTGTTTTGTGTGTTTTATTTTGGGGAAATTGTTTAACATTCCGATGTGAAATTCTGTGCAAATTATTTTTAGATATTTCATTAAATCCTTCAAATTGTATTTTTAATAGTTCGCTTTTGGGGGTTAATTTCAGAATTTTAAATTATGATCTGGAAATATTTAAGTCCTTCCATAGAGATTGACAGAGCTCATAGGATTACTGCTTCAGGTCAATGGTTTTTAAATGGGGTGTCCAGGGTAGTAAAGGCTGAAGCAATTTGTTGCGGCATCAATAGGAAGACAGATTATTATTTTCAAAAATGCTAAGTGATAATCAGACCCACTGAACCTGCACTATATTTTCACTTTGTACACGATGTAAATCAATAGCTTGTCATCAGAACAAGCAATTTACCATCCCAGGATTAATCTCTGTGGAAGGACTTCCATATTCCAGATCATAATTTAAAATTCTGAAATTCACTTCATTCTAATGCACATCATGTGTACTTGAAAAACAACTACAGTATATTCATCTACAGTTACTCGCAACCACTCATGATCTTGTGTACATATATATTCAGCTTCTGAACTATCAACTATTTATGTTATTAACTCATGTTTAAATGGCAGATATATATTTTTAGGTCTGAAGTTTGACTTTTAAATTCAAAATGAAACCAATGTCTTTGATTTTTCTCAGACAGCGACAATATTCTCTGAAAGTTTCCTGATTGGATTTTAAAATGCATATTGTATCAAGAGCCTCAAAGACTTCACAGGTTGTTGAGTACCAAGTTATCCCGTATGTATGTAATTGAATGAACATACTTTATCATTCATTGAATTATTTCTTTTTGTACATTCCAACAGCATGGGCCAACCTTAATTGAAATGGACATGGACTTCATGATACACATCTATGAAAATGACCCTCGTGGTAAAGTGACTTGTACTTTGTACAGACTTCAGCGTCCTGTTGAATGTGTAGGACAGGACAAAGCTACACAGTCATACGCAGCGAGACATAAAGAGTCAGGTTCATCAAGGCCAAAATGTGCTTATCACTAATGGTAATTCAAATGGTAGGTTAATAACTCACAGGATGTATTGAAATAACTCGTATGTCATGCCGTCTTCAGTGAATACACTAAAAGAAAAGTTATGTTTCCTGGTCACAAATGTTCTTCGGCAAATTTAAAACCCAGAATTCCATTGTTTTAATCATATATATATTTTTTGGCAGCATCAAGAATAAAATAAGATTTGGTGATTTGTAACTCTTGATATTTTTGCGATGATGGTTTTCACATTTGATGTCAGCTCTAACACAAATGTTGGCAGTCCAAGTTGCCCAGGCTTCTATTCTCCCATGTACTTGTTTTCATAACTTGTTTTCATAAATAAAATTAGCATAATTGTGATTTGATCTAATGAAATGAGTCTTAAGGACAGTAGGGTACTTCTAAAAGGGGCCAAAGTGTGACCTCCCCCATCCCCCAACCTCCGTTCGGCCACTGACGAATGTTTTATTACTAGTAAAAAGGGGGCAAAAACTTTTTTATATCTGTTTTTTTTTCTCACATAAATTTATTGTTAGTTTCTTTTATTTTTATCTTCTTAAAATACATTAGACTCAATTTTGGGCACACAAGAGTTACACAGGGAACTAAGGGTCATTGTAGTTTTTGACGTTTCCTTTCATTTTAATGTTTTCTTCATTTCTTAATTTAAAAGTTATGTTTTGTTTTTGTCATTGTATTGGTAATATTTACACTTTTCTTTTGGTAACTGCTGTCTGGGTTAAGCACACTAACATCGTGTGAATGAATGTGCCGAATTGTGCTCCTGGACACAAGGAAAAAGCTGTAGCACAACGTCTAACTAATGTACTAACCACAAGTTATAAATTGATTGATATACCAGTAATTCAGTCTCTGAATGCTGACATTCGGCAGTAGCTGAGACGAATTCAGTGTGTATTGACCAATATTCTTGACCATGTACTCAAATAGGTTGACCCAGTGGCGGTTCTGGGGGGGGGGCTTTATTTGTCTAGGCCTCCCCCCCCCCAAAAAAAAAAACTCCATAAAAAAAAAATGCACTAGCAAAATGTAAGAATTTGACTTACATGGGAATGTTCTCCACCTAAATGAGAAGGGTGCATTTGTACACTTTTAGTTAATAGAGTGTGCCTGATTGCAGGATTTCATCAGCACTCCCCATTGAAAATATGGCACGAGTATTGAAAATATGGCACCATGTATTGATTTTCAGGGGCTTAAGTGTCCGGAGAAAATAACCTGTCTACATTTCAGCACGCCTCTCAGAATAAAAATCTGGATCCACCTTGCTACCCCCCCCCCCCCTAAAATATTGGCTCTAGAACCGTGCCTGGGTTGACCAAACTTCGAAATAAAATAAATGACTAAATTAATTTTATTAAAAGAATGTAAACTTCTTCTCAGACAAATTTGACTTGTACTTTGTACAGACTTCAGCGTCCTGTTGAATGTGTAGGACAGGACAAAGCTACACAGTCATACGCAGCGAGACATAAAGAGTCAGGTTCATCAAGGCCAAAATGTGCTTATCACTAATGGTAATTCAAATGGTAGGTTAATAACTCACAGGATGTATTGAAATAACTCGTATGTCATGCCGTCTTCAGTGAATACACTAAAAGAAAAGTTATGTTTCCTGGTCACAAATGTTCTTCGGCAAATTTAAAACCCAGAATTCCATTGTTTTAATCATATATATATTTTTTGGCAGCATCAAGAATAAAATAAGATTTGGTGATTTGTAACTCTTGATATTTTTGCGATGATGGTTTTCACATTTGATGTCAGCTCTAACACAAATGTTGGCAGTCCAAGTTGCCCAGGCTTCTATTCTCCCATGTACTTGTTTTCATAACCAAAATTAGCATAATTGTGATTTGATCTAATGAAATGAGTCTTAAGGACAGTAGGGTACTTCTAAAAGGGGCCAAAGTGTGACCTCCCCCATCCCCCAACCTCCGTTCGGCCACTGACGAATGTTTTATTACTAGTAAAAAGGGGGCAAAAACTTTTTTATATCTGTTTTTTTTTTCTCACATAAATTTATTGTTAGTTTCTTTTATTTTTATCTTCTTAAAATACATTAGACTCAATTTTGGGCACACAAGAGTTACACAGGGAACTAAGGGTCATTGTAGTTTTTGACGTTTCCTTTCATTTTAATGTTTTCTTCATTTCTTAATTTAAAAGTTATGTTTTGTTTTTGTCATTGTATTGGTAATATTTACACTTTTCTTTTGGTAACTGCTGTCTGGGTTAAGCACACTAACATCGTGTGAATGAATGTGCCGAATTGTGCTCCTGGACACAAGGAAAAAGCTGTAGCACAACGTCTAACTAATGTACTAACCACAAGTTATAAATTGATTGATATACCAGTAATTCAGTCTCTGAATGCTGACATTCGGCAGTAGCTGAGACGAATTCAGTGTGTATTGACCAATATTCTTGACCATGTACTCAAATAGGTTGACCCAGTGGCGGTTCTGGGGGGGGGGGCTTTATTTGTCTAGGCCTCCCCCCCCCCCAAAAAAAAAACTCCATAAAAAAAAAATGCACTAGCAAAATGTAAGAATTTGACTTACATGGGAATGTTCTCCACCTAAATGAGAAGGGTGCATTTGTACACTTTTAGTTAATAGAGTGTGCCTGATTGCAGGATTTCATCAGCACTCCCCATTGAAAATATGGCACGAGTATTGAAAATATGGCACCATGTATTGATTTTCAGGGGCTTAAGTGTCCTTAAGTGTGCCTCATGTGTACGGGTTTGTTCACAATTAACTAGGTTGACTAAATAAGCCTTATTAACAAGTCCGATGAAGTAACCCTATATCGGGTTTTGTTTATCATTTATCATACATCAAAGAATGTCGCTGCCAAGGTTCATGACATTATACCAGTTTGCACACTTGATTGTCAAAGGGAGGGGACTGTACTAATGAGTTATCACATGTTGGAGTGGAACACATAATGCGGTGCATCTGTGTCCCATGAGCCAGGAGGCAGGCTGAAGGCTGAACGACATATGCAACACAATGCAACACTAGTACTAGTCCGTATTCCACAAGTGGGATAATGAATTTATCTTCAAGCAAGGATGGAACACACATGCTGTAAGAACCTTTCAGCAGTGTTTCTATTACACATGTATGCAGCAGGAATATCATGTGCAGCCTGAAATGGCATGATACATAGATTGCAATATTGAATTGCATCAACCAACCCGGGATTTATGTTTGCTTGAAGATAAACACGGAACTTGAATGGTTCCCCGACTCGACCCACAACCCCCAAGGGAAAGAAGGGGAAATAACCTTTAAAAAAAAAATGCATGTGGATTTGAGCTGACATAGCTAAGAAACGTATCTTTTAAAGATGTCATCCTACATGTAGTTTGCTAGTAATATCAGTTTAAAAGTCGGTGATGAAATATGTATCATGAGAAAAATGAATATTGGTTTTATCCCCAGCTGATTTGTCCCCGACTCGACCCACAACCCCCAAGTGAAAGAAGGGGAAATAACCTTTAAAAAAAAAATGCATGTGGATTTGAGCTGACATAGCTAAGAAACGTATCTTTTAAAGATGTCATCCTACATGTAGTTTGCTAGTAATATCAGTTTAAAAGTCAGTGATGAAATATGTATCATGAGAAAAATGAATATTGGTTTTATCCCCAGCTGATTTGTTACATAGTTGTAGCCAAATGTTAACAAAATTTGGTGATAAATATAGGACTCACTTCACACATTGTCTTACCAAGTGTAAATTGAAATTTGTTCCATTTAATCATTGTTGTGTGTCTCGAGACTGGTCCATGTATGCAAGTTCACACACATGTACAGTGCAATGTATGTACGTACAGCAAGTTGGCAATTCTTTACAACGTAATGTGCAGTCCGCAACAGAAAATAAAATAACGACTCCATAAACGAGGTTCATGGGCGTCGCGAGGGGGGGCAAGGGGGGGCACTTGCCCCCCCCCCCCCCCTGGAAAAGCCAACAAAAAGAAGAAAAAAAAGAAGAAAAAAAAGAAAAAAAGAAAAAAAGAAAAAGAGGCGTGAAGACAAAGTGGTGTAAATTTAATGAGTTGGGGGGGGGGGGCAAAAGTCCCTGCCCCCCTCTAAAACTGATAAATCGAGAATGTGTTGAGAAATACAAGCATTTTTTGGGAAAAAAAGTTTTTGCCCCCCCCCCCCTCTAGAAAAAATCCTGGTGACGCCCATGAAGAGGTTATCAACGTGAACTACATGCAGCGCGATATGCACGACATGTAAACTACGCGTGGTCATGTGGAGCACATCTGCCATAATAAACTTTGGTTACAGAGGCCATAAAGAATTTACAGATGGTAAAGCAGGGAACAGGAAACACTGTGTGCTTTTTTTGTCCTGGGACAATACGCCTATCTGAACAATGTGAAACAAGTTCAGCATTTTAATAAAGCAAAGTAAACTTGCAACAAGGGCCACCCATTTTCTGGGATTGCATATGTCAATTTGTCAACACTGCCACTGGTCAAAATATTGTCTAAAATCTTCGTGAATAAAAACGGTTACAACTGGCAACTAATTAAATATATGTGTCTTGTTTTTTAATTTAATGATTAATATTTATTATCTGCAGTCTTGGTCTCGGTCTCTGACTATATCAGTCTCGGTCCACCTTAAAGGGGGTTGGTCTGGGTCTTGAAACTTCAGGTCTTGGTTTTGGTCTCGGTCTCGGACTATCCGGTCTCCACTACAACACTAGACTAGAAAAAAGTATCCGTTTTTTACCTCTGAAGTTTTTCATTTGCAAAACATAACAAGTCTATATTTTGGGACACAATACACGTATATGTGATGGAGAGTTTAGAATAAATACAGCAAAACGGCAAAAATAAATTCACTTTTTTGTGAGTTTATTGGCAAATGTGAGTTTATTGTCAATATTAATACTACCGTACTTAAATATTCAAAATGTATCAAATTGGCATTTACTAACATACCAGAGTAATCAACCCTGCATTGCAGCTCAATTATTATTCAGAGACTTTTCAAATTGTCTATAAACCCAAACTGTGTACTTCAAAAATAACAGTAATTTACCAGCCCTGGGTAGATAACAAACTGAAGGCTAATAGATGCAACATGCTAACAGTCTGATGAGCAATAAATAAGTAACATGAGGAATGTTTTTGGTAATGGATCCTCTACTTTTGTTTAAGGTGTATTATTTCCAAATTGGCAGGTAGTCATGTTATTCCAAAACTGTTGCTACTGTCCTAAACATGTGGTTTAAAGGTGTTGACTGAAGGGTTGTATTGTAATTGTCCGGCCCAACTATAGTAGAGATTCATGTCAGAGATGGATGGAATTTGGTGCATGCACTCCACATTTTAATATCCATAAATTTGCATATCTCCATTGTAAAGTATAAGTAGGGGTAAACGTGTAGGGGATTTTACTTTTGAATTGAATTTTCCTAACTTTTTCAAATTTTCCTTGGTTCATATATAAAATGGGGTGCAATGCAATTACTCAGTTTATTCTTTACCTCTTCCAAATTGGATATTTGGATGATAATATCAGCATTTCAATATGGATTTATCAAAGGAAAAAGATGCTTCACTTTATTCTTATCCCATTTTTTTTCTTTTTCACATTAATATTAATTGAAGCAACAAAATGCTGATCTGAGGTAACTGTCCTGCAGTACCTTTAGTCATTACTACAAGGATTTGTGGTTCCAACCAGGTAGGGCTGGGCCAACTACATGTACAATGTTGCAATGCTACAATGTTTGCTTTCTAGGCACGTATTAAGTGAGGACAATTGCTACAATGGTAACAGTCACACACAGCACATAGGAGCCTTCTGAGATGCTAGGTGGCAGCAAACACAATTGTCAATTGTTTGCGTCACGTGCATGCTCAAAATAACCCAAACAATAGATAAGCACTTGTATGTGTGTTGCCGACTGGTATATCAAAAGTCTTCCATTGTTCCTAATTTTAGAATGCAATTATGAATTAAGAATGTCATAATTCCTTTTAAAAATTTGAAGCAAAAAACCTCTGCAATTTGTACATTGTTATTGATGGTACATTACCCTCTTTGTACACAATATTTTATACTTGAAATTGTATTGTACATAGTTACATTATATACAGAAATAAATAATGCATCTCAGCATTTGTACAATCTATCAGTTTAGCTTAATGTAGATTTCAAAGTTTTAACAAAGAGTTTGAGTATTTATTTCCATACTGATATTGCTTAACAAAAATTAACTTTGACTCTTCCAACTCAACGTTAAAGGATTTTACCAAACCTTAGCTCATCTTCCCAATCTACTGACACACCTCAAACATTTTACCAGGCACAGCCATAGCCCAGGGATACAAAGCATTTCTGTGCGAGAGAAAATATTTGTGTACATACAGCAGTCCTTGAACTTGCTTGAATGGGTCCAGGCCCCTTCACACACTCATAATTTCAGCATATGGTATCTTCAACCCCAAGCAGTGTGGGGCTTTTTCGGCAACCAGCCTTTATTCTTGGCACACACTTTAGACCACCACCCACTGATGTGTGCCGAAAATTGATGTCATGACGTCATCATGAGTCACGTGGCGTCATATTAAAAGTGCATATTTTGAAGGTCATATCTACAGAACTACAGGTCTGATTGGGTTGAAAGTTGGTATGTACCTAGACCGGGATGTGTTATAGATGAAAACTGAAGTGACGTCACAATGATTTCATCATGGTTTACATGACGTAGCTTTATACATTAATAGATATAATCTTTGAAATTCAATATAAAATAAATTGTGGGAGACCTGAACTTGACGTTTGCAAGAATGGATAGAATAATCCAGGGTCTTCATTTTGATATTATGTGCAATATCACGTGACCCTTCTGGTTGAAACCGGAAGTGTCTTGTTATTTAAATTTGGTAAACTTGCTTTGGACGATGTATGTTCTGGCTAAGTTGCTCTTGACAAAAAAAAATAACGGTGACGTCATAAAATGTTAGAGTGCCCTCTAGCGGCAGTTTGTTGATTATTGATGAAAATAGATGTGACGTCATCATGTCATCACGTGACATGTGACACCATAATGAGAATGTAATCACATATTTTATGCCACCATTTATTATAAACAGCACTACACATCCTTCCTGGATGGAACTTATACTTGAAACATTACATGTCACATGTCACGTCACAAGAAAAAGATGCCGAAACAGCCCTGTGTTTGTCCACAAACATAAGTCTAGTTGTTTTATTTGTTTTATTTTTGTTTGTGTGAGTTTTTGGGCGGTTTGTTTGTTTGTTATGTATGCTAGGGTTGTTTGTTTGTTTTTCCCCCTAAAATCTGCAAAACATCAATCCCGAAATAGAGTAGTATTACTTTTCAAGAACATGCATTGAAGCATATTATTCATTCCATATATGTAAACAAAACCTGTTATGGTATTGAAGTAATTCATTCTTTTCCCAACCATACACTGGCCATGTTGGCAACACAGATTTGGTTATGGATAATACAGGGTGGTTAAAAAAAAAAGGACACCCACCTTTGACAGCAATTTTCACCTACTTAATGAACTTATTTCAATTTTTTTTTTTCACATAGTAGTAAAGTATAGGCCTGTAACCATGCATGGTGAAAAAAGCTTAGTAAAAGTCGCAAAAATAGTGATATCAGGTTAATTTGAATACAAGTCACCAAAATCAGTCGTGTCCACGGGTTATTCTATGTAAATTGGACGTTTTCGTAGTTCATACAAATTAAAAAACCTTCCCACCAAAATATATTTTGACCTGGAAACTTTTATTGAAGCTGTCTAATTATTCATTATTCATTGAGATCATCTACTCAATGAGCTGTCGGCTTAAGTTCATTGTTGCATAACATTACATAATATAAAAATCAAATGTCATGCCCTTTCAAATAAAGCTCCGATAGCTGAGCTCAGTCAAGCGAAGGGAATGTATACCCCCGTGGACAAACAGGTTTCGCACATGAAATGTTCAAATTAGCATAGTTCAAAGACAAAATGTGCAAATGCAATGATTTTTTTCGTCACATTTGCTTAAAGGCCAGTACTTTAATAGCTACTAATCGACAGTTAAAAATAATATTTAAAAATAGGTGAAAATTGCTGTCAAATGTGGGTGTCCTTTTTTTTTTAACCACCCTGTAGATGAAATGAATCTTACAAAAAAGTGAGGATACATCTAGATGAAATACCACACTGTATGGAAATAATAAAACAAACTCATGGTCATATTAAAATGAAAGGAAAAGTATAATAGAAACAAACATTCTGTGAAGGGTGGTCGCTGCAAACAGAATGTTGCTGTTTTCGCATGTCCTGGATGCTTGGACTCCAACATGGATATGGGGTAGCATGGTTTGAAGCACAGATGAATTCAGACCTCATTCCAATGATATCTAGCGGATTATGCCAGCTTTTGTCAGGTGTAAGCGTTGTATCATGTCTTTGCAGGAATCAAAAACAATGCTGATGTTTTCTGAATTGACGGCAATAGTGAAATGAGAATAGCAGTGTTTAATGAAGTGATGCTCTTTTTCGTCACAAACACTTAGGTCCTGAAAATTGAAAGGGGAAAAAGAATGACATGCATAAAATCTTGTGATAAGTTAGTACAAGAATCTTGCAAATGGTTAAGTCTTGGTCTGGGGAGAATAAACTGAAATGTTTTTGATCAGGAAAGGGGTATTATGTGCCTTAAAGAAAGGGGATTTTGCAACAAAAGGTAACTAGCTACTGGCTGCTCAAACTTAAATGGGCACGTATGCATCAAAGCAGTTAACAATGGAAACAAAAGCAAAAAAGGACTTTTTAAGAAGGTGCATGCACATACATGCTTATGATCCTTGATATTTCACTTGATCAGAAGGTGGAGGGACAGTGGATTATCTTTTTATTTATGCATTTAGGTTTTTGTACACAGCTAGGGGCAAATATGAAAACTGTGAATTTATCAAATATTTTCTCGCTTATTCCCACCCTCTTTGACACCAGTTAACAAAACACTAATGATTATGAAGTTGAAATATTTGATAAACATGTATTTAGTGTGTGTGTGAGTTTGTGTCTGCATTCAACAGGGGACATTGAATATTAGAGAACAATAGGGTCCTAATCTCCGAGAGGTCCCCAATTTGGATTTTTGTACAAAACATATTGGTCCGAGAGCCCAGTGAGGTTTAATAAGAATATCGTGCACAAAAGGTTTGATGGTGGCAGCGAGTAGGTAGGGGTGTCCAACCTTCAAAACTGTCATTAAGTGTCACACCCCGTGGGTTTGGGAGGGGGCACCGCCTAAAGACCCCCCAAAAGTGACTTTTAATTAGAATGTCGCGTACAAGCATGGTTTCAACGCGAAAAGATAGTGTTCGATCACCTTATCAATGACCAATAACTTAAGAATGAGAAATGCTGTGCATTCCATGCTTAAGAGTGGCCTAATTAGCGCTAATTACTGACCGTTAATTAGAATATGGAGCACAAGAGCGAAACGTTCACTAACAGCTAATTAACAATAATGCAAGATCCACAACTTAAGAATGGATATTCCCATGCATTTTAATGACTGTCTTTAACCGCACAGCTTCATAAAATGTGAATGAATTAATACGAAAAAAAAGAGCGCCTTGAAGCGTCCAAATTTGCAGCACTTGTGGTGGCCTGGAAATTGAGGGGAGATGATGTTGGTCTGCCCTCGGTGCCCCGTCATAAAATGAAACTTTGAAACCCCAGAAACACTCCCACTTCCTGATTTTAAAAGGAGCTAACTTAGAAGGAAACCACTTAGGAATTGTACCACACAGTGTATTGTAGCAGCTCTGATTGATGTTTATGCATAGGCCTAAGTAGTACTTTTTGTGCCAATCATTTAGTTCAATACGCTTAACAAATAATTATACATAGATATCCCCCTCCATCCACTAAAAAGTACACATTCATAACCGGCCAATTCAAGTTTATTTCGATCAAAATCAACGAATGTCTTAAATCAAGAATCACTCTTTCAATCGGATATATGAAATACTGCTTTTTTATAAGAAACTGTGCGCCTTTGGTTGGAAAAGTTTTCACTCCACTGACAGCTGTAAAAAAATGTATTACTTTAATAAAAACATGCATATGACTTTCGATAGCAGGGATCTATGTTTTCCGGATGAGTAGAAATACGTGCTTGTTTAGTATTATTATAAAATGGAATTTTTGGGCCAGGGTGATATAAATCAAATTAGGTTTAGCCCTTCACCTACGTTTATATACCCGGTACTCAGTGAGTTACCTCCCCAGTGAAAGTTGAAAAAAATCACTCGGGTGGGACTCGAACCCACAACCTCCTGCTTTCTAGTGCAGATGTCTTACCAACTCGACCACCAAGCAAACGGTTTGAATCTGATGTACATAGCAGCGGGTACCGCATGGACTATTACTAATACTAATAGTATTAGTTTGCACTTCTTTGGTGTATCCAATTTAATAGGAGTTTTAAGGGGAAAATCATCAATCCCGGCCATTTTGTTTCATCCTTTTTTTTATGCCAAAAAGAACTACCATCAAAGTGGGGAGAAAATCTGAATGGCCCTTAGGATCCCTGGCATACTAAAGTGTTTGTCATATCATAACATCCTAAATCTTGTGCTTGCTTTCGGGCCTTCGATGCGGTTCTTCGTAATTTATCTCTCTTTAATAATTCAGGATCTGCCATGATTGGGTATGCTTTCCAATCCATTCATGTATTGGGCAGGCTTTAATACATCGTCAAAAAATCTTAATGCAATGAAAATTTGCAGAATTGGGCCATAATACGGACATTCATTTCTCAACAGCGTCATAGGTTGCATTATTGCGTAATTCAGTACTATTTCGACATTTAGGCCGGCATAATATTATTGTATGTATAGAATATTGCAGTATTTTGCAATTCTGGGATTATTTTGTAATGCAGTACCGGGTACGTGTGTAGCGATGCTTTCACGTTATTTCGTTACGTTATTTAGCATGTGTGCATTGCCTAACTTTTTTAACTGTGCAGGAATCGGCCTCCGTACCATACAATCGTAATTAGTGGTAAATAAAGCTGTTCTTAAGTAAATTTGCATGAAAATACCATTCTTAAGTTGTGGATCTTGCATTATAGTCAAGTTAATTAGCTTTTAGTGAGGGTTTTGCTCTTGCGCTAAAAATTCTAATTAACGGTTAATAATTAGCGCTAATTAGGCCATTCTTAAGCATGAAACGCACAGGATTTCTCATTGTTAAGTTATTGGTCATTGATACCCAGTAAGTTAATCAAATACTTTCTTTTAGCATTGGAACCATGCTTGTACGCGACATTCTAATTAAAAGTCAATTTTGGGGGGTCTTTAGGCGGTGCCCCCTCCCAAACCCACGGGGTGTGACACTTAATGACAGTTTTGAAGGTTGGACACACCCACCTACTCGCTGCCACCATCAAACCTTTTGTGCGCGATATTCTAATTAAAAGTCAATTTTGGGGGGTCTTTAGGCGGTGCCCCCTCCCAAACCCACGGGGTGTGACACTTAATGACAGTTTTGAAGGTTGGACACACCCACCTACTCGCTGCCACCATCAAACCTTTTGTGCGCGATATTCTAATTAAACCTCACTGGGCTCTCGGACTAAATGGAAGGTCTTCATAAAAAGTTAAAGTACAAACAAAAGAGGGCCAATAGGGGTCCCCGATTACAGGCAATTACACACTTGGGTGTATGTGTGTGTTGGGAGGGGGGGGGTGTCTTTATAATTGACAAGACAAGCAAATGTACGTGGGAGATATACATACTCTGCCAGGGCAGAATTGTTCATTCATTTGCATGGAAAGTCGTCAATAAATGTTAACATTTATGCTTTGTAAAGAGGACTGCTAGTATGAAAATACACGTATTGTTTTTATTACTGCTTTGAGACCCGTCAGTAAAATTATAATAAATTAAATTTCTTGAGATGCTCTCTTTGAATCATGTCTTCACAATCTTGAAACACACGTTTAATATTCTCCTGATCCACTGCACATGTGTAGTGAGGATAGCATCCTTTCTTAAACCTTGTATCATTGTTTATCCTTGTGCTGGTGTTCTGAGGAGAAATGTAAATTGTGCACATAAATGAGCAACATAACTAACCTGTACAATTCTATTGATATGCCTTGCATTTTACACAATGCTTTAATAACTTTACATCTGGTCAGAGTGGGGTAATCATAATATATGGGGGAAAATACATTAAGCTTAACTTGTTAAATTCACTGTGGTAAACTTGATTTATTTGCCCATGTCAAACTGTGTACATTCCTGAGGATGGCCAACCAATTTGAATTGGTGTACAGTGCATAATCAAATTCTAAGGCTGTCCCTTACAGAAATGTCCCATGAGCATCCCATGGGATTCCCATGGGACCCCATGGGAAACCCATGGGGTCATCAAGAACACCATGTAAGTTAAAATGATCATCATGGGAAACCCATGGGAACACCATGGAGATTGCATGGACAACATGGGAACACCATGGGGATTTTACGAGCTCCATGGGAACACCATGGGGATTTTATGAGCTCCATGGGAACACCATGGGAATTTTACGGACACCATGGGAACACCATGGGGATTTTATGGACATCATGGGAACACCATGTGGAATTAATGAACACCATGGGAACATCATGGGAACATCATGGGAATTTATGGACATCATGGGAACACCATGGGAACCCCATGGCGATTTTATGGACACCATGGGAACACCATGGGGATTTTATGGACACCATGGAAACACCATTGGGATTGTATGTCACCATGGGAACACCATGGGGATTTACTGGACACCATGGGAACATCATGGGGATTTTAGACACATGGGTACACCATGAGGATATGGGGATTTTAGACACATGGGTACACCATGAGGATTCGGACGCCATGGGAACACCATAATGTGGGTGATATAAATTATGGATACAATGGGAACACCATGGAGATTTAAAAGGCAGCACGGGGACACTGCCGGGTTATACTGGAGAACATGCATGTGCCATGAAAAACCATCATAGACCCAATTGCACTCCCAAGTTATAGGCAAACCTTTCTTTGATTTAATTACTTATTCGCCTAGCTGTAAATTTGAATTCAATTAAAAATATTTCCCTTGTGGCCATAGAGGTTATCAAGAATTCTATTTGTTAAGCTGACCATGGGAAACTCCTGTGGATGTTCACCAATTGAACACAATGGGATAAACACCATGGGACACCATGGGAACACCATGGGACACCATGGGACCACCATGGGACATTTTTGTGAGAATCTCTTACAATAACGAGTGTTGTAATTGCACATTTTTGATTTTTTCTGTTGATAAGTGAAGTTAAATGATGCATACAGTATTTTTTTATGTGGACAATGTGTCATTAAAACTTTGGATAATATGATTCATTTATTATTATGGTTGGAAACATTTATGAGAAAATGAATTGGGAACACTGTGATAATATGGTACAGCTTGACAAGTGGTATGGGAGCAATAATGTGGATTTTAGTCATAGAATTCCCCTTCCACTCCTATTACGTGGAACAACCCCCATCGGAGTTTCGTGGTGTGCTTTACGTATTTTGATGAATAGCACTTAAAGGGAATATACAACATTTGCAAACATCGAAAAATAAAACTACCAAGTTTTTGCGAAATACCTTAATAGGATGTTGGTAAATGACAGTCTAAAGCATCCTGTAAAATTATGGCACCTGGTATACTGTCATTTTCAAGAAAAGTGGTATTTTTGTATCAATTTCCAACGCTGATCGGCCGATCAGCGTTGGAAACAACTGGCTTTTTTTCAAATACTGGCCCCAATTGACCATCGCACTTGTTTGCAATCGATTACAAACCTATGAACGGGTACGAGCCAGCTAGACTGGTTCCCTGACCTTACAATTCCCCAATGTATGTAAACTGCTCTGTTTCTTCTTATATGGAGTCAGGGAACCAGACTACAGGAAAATGATCGTTTTTCTTGGTTTTTATAGCATTTTCGAACCCAAAACCTCCAAAAAGTCAGTGTAACTATATTTGCTTTATATTTCCAACCCCCCAATCCCATCCATTTCTGAAAATTACAGCAAAAGCAAATGATGTATATTCCCTTTAACACATCACAGGGTTAAAATGTACAGGATGTTGTTATTGAAAAACACCATGGAGCAATTATTTTTTTGAGAAATGAAAGGAAACCATCCATGGGAAAAAGCCCATACAAAATTTCGCATGGGAAAAAGCCAATGGGAAAACTCCCATGGGAAAAATCCCATGCTACATGGTGTCCAATTCACCATGCAATTCCCATGGGGTCCCATGGGAAAATTTCCCATGGGAATTACATGGGACATTTCTGTAAGGGGTAACAGCCAAAGATTTCACTGCAGATATTCTATCAGATCACATATCAATCCCCATCGGTCCTATGAAACAAAAAGATAAGTGCTGGTTTACTTTACCTGGAATTTGGCTTTGATGAAACTTTTTGCCTTGAAGAACTCTTTACTTTCACTGATATTCAGTGCAGGGAACACTGCAAAGCAAGATGATAGCAACTGCTTATAAAATGTTCTGCAATATGAAGCCTTTAAATCTGAACATTTATTGTGATATTATTAAAATGTACATTCGTAGTTGGTTTGGATATGTTATAGAATGTTTTTTTGTACACAAGCATCCACTATACACGAGCACAATTTCATGTTCAAGTCATTTGGATTGCCACTGATGGACTTGTTTTTGTGGTAGATCTGCTGCCTTCAGAGACTTATTAACCCTGCTATGCAAACACACATTCTGTGCTAAGTTGTCCCTTCAGTCAAAATCAAGTGACTGTTTTCACTAGTAAATAGTTCCCAGCCTACGTACATTTTGTGAAGCAGGATAGACTGGCTGTGACTGTTTATGTGGGAAATGAGGTCCACTCATGGTCCACTCATGTACCGTGGTACATGGGTTCGAATATGGTGCTTGTGCTTTTGAGCAAGACACTATACTATTATTGCTTTATGCTTCGGATGGGATGTAAAGCCGTAGGTCCGTAGTGTTAAAGAATCCAAGCTAGTTTTGCCCTGGTGTTTCTGACAGTGGCTGCAATATGCGCCGCAGCACCTTGAAAACCCTTGGTGCTACATAATGAATCTCACATTTCTCTCAAAACTTCATTTTATATTATAACACCTCACCCACAGATTCTGTGTCTTGATTGGCCGAGAGCGAGTCACATGTTACTTTCTAATTTGGTTATCTTTCTGTGCACGGCCAAAAGTACTATACCTGTAGCAACCAAAGTACTATACCATTGGCAACCAAAGTACTATTTCCACGGCGCGGTATTTGTGTGCAAATGCATGCTGGTGTGCGCGTTGTGCGTAGCGCGTATTATGCCAAAGAGATCGCGCCACAGACTTGGGTTGAAACATTTCGTGAAGGGGTAGTTTTTAAGAGAGAAATACTTTTCCACCAATTTTGTATTGAAATTGAAGTTTATTCAACTGTGTTCAGATTTAAATAATTTAAAATATTAAAATCCAGCAGATTCTGTGGGTGAAGTGTTATAAAACAAATATTGAATGCTTTATCTCGTGGTGAAGTAAAACTAGCCTCCCTCGGTGATCCATGGACCATTCTACAGGCTAGTTTTACTACACCACTCGAAGCATTCAATATTTGTATACTAGTCTTTAAAAATAGACATAATTACCAGCACCTTGAGTACCTAATTGCTGGTAGATACGTGCGCTATATAAGACTCCATTATTATTATTATTATTATCATTATTATTATGTAATGTGATAAAGCTGTGCTTTGACTGTACCACTGATCTCTATATAAAGACTGGATAGCTAATAAAGAGCCGCACAATGTACGAATTTGACTCCATATTGGTGAGACCGGCTGGTGATCTACAAAGGACAAGTTGCTGTTTTTATAGACAGCATGATTTCTTTTGTAACGTCGCGGTTCACTTGACTTATATTTTGACCACCACCACTGACCAAGGTTAACTACAATTTTTTAACGTCGTGGTTACTAAAATGCCGCAAATATCACTTTTTCGGCGTTTTGAAACAATAATTACTACGGAAATGTGTCCCTTTTAGAACATCATAATATGTGTACGTGACCAAAATGCGCGTCAACTGTTGATACAACGCGCGCGTATTTACGCGTAGAACGTTAGTATTATACGCGGCCATCTTCGTGAGACCGGGGGCGAATTGGTCAATATGCAAAGTCTACTGTGTGAATGTTGTATGCATATCCGCTATCCAGTCTTTATATAGAGATCAGTGGACTGTACCTGTGCCACCAGTTCCCTGCCTCCTTTTGTCTGTTGACTGAATTTGACTAGTTGGAGTGCTTGCATTAAATATGATCCGACTGTTTGTGACTAGCCTGTGCAAAAGGCATGGCAGGGTAAGTGGATCAACTTTTTGACTGTCTTTGACTGTTTAAACAGAAGGACCATTAATTTATTATATATTGTTAATGTTATTTTATTGTGGGGGTTATTTGGGGATGACTGTTCAGTTTGAGGAGGGTAGAGTAATGCAACAATGATGGCCGCCATGTAGTACCAAATCCAAATGGAGGTTTAAGATTGGGAACTCTTTTAAGTTACCAGTTGATTGCTTGATAGCAGTCCTACTACAGTCAAGAAAGTGTAGGATTCAAGTTTTCATCACTCACTTGATTCTCGTCGTCTTTGTTCTGCTCTCTTTCTCTTTGTTGAAAAGCAGCACCAACCTTCAGGGGGCTCTATGGTTTCTAGTGTGAAATTCAATATGCATGGAAATCAAAATCAAACAAATTTTGTTTCCTGATCACGTTGAACACAGTAACAAATACAACTAGAGCTATGCCTGTATGATGAACAGGACATAGGCTTTTCCCTTTTTTTGTTAATATAAATAATGTTTAAAAAAATACTTCAACAAAAAATAGTACGTCAAAGTTTTGTATTAGGTTTTGTATAAGGTTGATAATGATGAAGTCATCATGACGTCATTTCACAATTTACATACTATCAACAGTATCTACCTACCCACCAATTTTTAAGACAATCAGACTCACCCTTAAAGGGTTTTTAAAAATACTTGGCAGTGTTCAGTATTTTATTGTGGTTTTAGTCAGTACCAAGTTTGAAGCCAGTCAGATAAATAAAAGTCTTAAATTGTGTGAGCAGAATAAAATTGTAAATATTTTTAAAAAATTGTAAAAAATATACTGATGTCATCGTGACGTCATTTCAGATTTTGAGTACTAGTACTATTATCTACATACCCACCAAGTTTCATGACCATCGACCATTCCCTTATATGTGTTTTAAAATAATTGCCTTTTTGATGACGTGATAATGATGTCACACAATTTTCACAATTTTGTCAATATACCTGTCACCTAACAAACATAATACAAAACAGAATTTTGAGGTATTAGAAGAAAATTTTAAAAGTTTATAAATTAATAAAAAAAGAAGGCAACGACGTCATCATGACTTCACTTCAGATTTGCATACTATTAAAAGTATCTACCTACCACCAGGTTTCAAGAATATCGGAATTACCCTAATATGTGTTTGAGAAATCGCAGTTTTGATGACGTCATCATGACGTAACACATTTTTCAAAAATTATGTGCATATACCTATTACCTAGCAAACCTAATACAAAAAGAATTTTGAATTAAGCATTTTGGGTTCAAGAGAGATGATGATAATTTTCAAAACTTCAAAAATCGATATAAAATCACACCATGACGTCATGACGACATGGCTTCAATTTTTATCTATAACACATTCCTGCCTACATACCGGTACCAAGTTTCAACCCAACGGACTTACCATTCATGAGATATATCAAATTATAAGGCACTTCCGCTTTGGACCAGAAGGAAGGGTCACGTGACTTGGCACGCAGAAGATGAAATGAAGATACTGAATTATTCTATCAATTTCCAAAAAATTCAAGTTTAGGTGTGTCACAGTTGATTTTATATAGATTATCAAAGATTAAAGCTATTAATCTTTAATTGCTTGTAATTTGATACATGATGACATCATAGTGACTTCACCTCAAATTTTAAACACATCCCGGTCTACCTACATACCAAGTTTCAACCCAATCGAACTTACAGTTCGTTAGATATAGGGTCTTAAAGTTTGCACATTTAGATGACGTCACGTGACCCATGATGACGTAATAATGACGTCACTCTTTGGGACACAAACTCACTATGGGGTCTTTACATAGATTAGATTTCATTAGAAAACGAGTTTGTTTTAGGTCAAAAGTACCGCGCTGAATAAACGTGTACAAAGTCTATGGCATTTGGGGTAGGAACAAGAGGAGAAAAAAAGAAGAAAAAAAATCAGAACAGAAACAATGCTTTTCTGCTTACAAGCGGAAACCAAAAAAAAAAAAAAAAAGAGAGATCTGTGTCTGTTTGCAACAGAACATAGGGCTTTTCCACATTATGTTTTTTTTTTATCAATAACATGTCCCTGGCTATGCATGTACAACATTTCAATCGAATCGGACCTACGGTTTTAAATATGCACCTTTAAGACCACATCACTATGATCACTTGCTGCCAGAGTGCGCTCGAATAATGCATGACGTTACTGGTCAGATTTTTGGAAAGCCCACCCTTTCCACAGAATAACATCGTTGAAAGCAAGTTCACATCTTTTACCAATTGCAAATAACAAGGCAATTTCGGGTTCAACAGGAAAGAAGGGTCACATGATTTTGCACGTTATATCAAAAATTAAGACCATGAATCTATTCCCGTAAAAAAAAAAAAAACAGATCTCTCACTATTGATTTTAGATTAATTTTATGTGATGACGTAATCATGATGTCACTTCGCAGTGCTCATTATTTTATTGTGGCTTTAGTCTGTACCAAGTTTAAAGCAAGTAGGGAATTAAAGTGTTAAATTTTTTAAGCAGAATAAAATTGTAAATATTTTAAAAATCGTAAAAAATCTACAGAAGACGTTTTGCGACGTCATTTCAGATTTTGTGTACTGGTACTATTATCTACCCACCCACTAAGTTTCATGACAATTGGACATTCCCTTATATATGTTTAAAAAAATTGCATAGTTGATAACATCATAATGGTGTCACACAATTTTCACCATTTTGTGAATATACCTGTTACCTAACAAACATAATACACAAAGAATTTTGAATTTGGCATATTGCGTTCGTGAGATATCGGTTAAAGGTCCAAATAGGTCAAAAATCGATATAAAATTACACGATGACGTCATGATGGTGTCACCTCAATTTTTTAAATATAACACATCCCGGCCTACCTACATACCATGTGTCAACCCTATCGGACTTACAGTTCTTTAGATATAGGGTCTTAAAGTTTGCACATTTATGATGACGTCACATGCCCTGTGGTGATGTTACTTGGCAGTGCATATTATTTTATCATAGATTTAGTCTGTACCAAGTTTGAAGCCAATCAGACGAATAAAAGTGTTAAATTTTGTAAGCGGAATAAAATTGTCAATATTTAAAAAATCATAAAAAATCTACAGATGACGTCATTGTGATGTCATTTTAGATTTTGAGTACTAGTACTATTATCTACCCACCCACGAAGTTTCACGACGAACGGACATTCCCTTATGTGTTTTTAAAAATCGCATTTTTGATGACGTCATAATGACGTCACACAATTTTCACAATTTTTTGAATATACCTGTTACCTAACAAACATAATACCAAAAGAATTTTGAATTTGGCATATTGCGTTCATGAGATATGGTTAGGTTTTATGTTTTTTTTTATAGGTAATAGGTTTTTTAATATTTTTAGAATATACAAGATTTTGTCACAATGTATGTATTTTGACAAAATTCATTATACTTGGGGAAACATGGGTTTACTGCTACTCATGGTTTCAACCAGCTTATTTTGCAATTTACACTGCCATTAGGGCCAGTGTGTAAATTCTAACAGCTTAATAATGTGAGGTGTAAAAAATGCTCTATTACAACACAAAAAATTCCCATTTTTTAACCCTTTAAATACCTGCAAAATGGACTTTTCTCCAAAAGCTAGGATCCCGAGAAGGATTCTGAGAAGGATCCTAGCACTAATTATGCATAGTTTTGACCAATCACAACAGGGAGTTTTAACCAATCATGTTAGACCATTACCAAGATTGGGCCAATCAGGGCACAGCTGTAGAACACAGTGCTAAAGTGTAGGAGGGAAAATGCACATGTGAGTGTGTCTCATTCTGTCACAGCTTTTTGTGCAACCTTTTTCATCCAGAGCCTGAAATCTTAGCAATGCCTCGACAAAGAAGGGTGGCTGGATCCGCTAAGCCTGCTGGAGCTAAGGTGGGACAGAAACAAGTAAGACAATCATCAAGAGCAAAGGCCAGGATCCTTTCAAGTGTTCTTCCTGATGATCCTGTGGCTCCTTCAGTGATGACCACATCACCCACTGTGTTGCCTCCTGCTTCCCCCTCTGTGCTGCCTCCTGCTGCCCCCACTATGTTGCCTCCTGCTGCCCCCTCTGTGCTGCCTCCTGCTGCCCCCACTGTGCTGCCTCCTGCTGCCCCCACTGTGCTGCCTCCTGCTGCCCCCACTGTGCTGCCTCCTGCTGCCCCCACTGTGCTGCCTCCTGCTGCCCCCACTGTGCTGCCTCCTGCTGCCCCCACTATGTTGCCTCCTGCTGCCCCCACTGTGCTGCCTCCTGCTGCCCCACTGTGCTGCCTCCTGCTGCCCCCACTGTGCTGCCTCCTGCTGCCCCCTCTGTGCTGCCTCCTGCTGCTCCCACTATGGTGCCTCCTGCTGCCCCCACTGTGCTGCCTCCTGCTGCCCCCACTATGTTGCCTCCTGCTTCCCCCTCTGTGCTGCCTCCTGCTGCCCCCACTATGTTGCCTCCTGCTGCCCCCTCTGTGCTGCCTCCTGTTGCCCCAACTGTGCTGCCTCCTGCTGCCCCCTCTGTGCTGCCTCCTGCTGCTCCCACTATGGTGCCTCCTGCTGCCCCCACTGTGCTGCCTCCTGCTGCCCCCACTATGGTGCCTCCTGCTGCCCCCACTGTGCTGCCTCCTGCTGCCCCCACTGTGCTGCCTCCTGCTGCCCCCTCTGTGCTGCCTCCTGCTGCCCCCACTGTGCTGCCTCCTGCTGCCCCCTCTGTGCTGCCTCCTGCTGCCCCCACTGTGCTGCCTCCTGCTGCCCCCACTGTGCTGCCTCCTGCTGCCCCCACTGTGCTGCCTCCTGCTGCCCCCTCTGTGCTGCCTCCTGCTGCCCCCACTGTGCTGCCTCCTGCTGCCCCCTCTGTGCTGCCTCCTGCTGCCCCCACTGTGCTGCCTCCTGCTGCCCCCACTGTGCTGCCTCCTGCTGCCCCCACTGTGCTGCCTCCTGCTGCCCCCTCTGTGCTGCCTCCTGCTGCCCCCACTATGTTGCCTCCTGCTGCCCCCACTGTGCTGCCTCCTGCTGCCCCCACTGTGCTGCCTCCTGTTGCCCCAACTGTGCTGCCTCCTGCTGCCCCCTCTGTGCTGCCTCCTGCTGCTCCCACTATGGTGCCTCCTGTTGCCCCCACTGTGCTGCCTCCTGCTGCCCCCACTATGGTGCCTCCTGCTGCCCCCACTGTGCTGCCTCCTGCTGCCCCCTCTGTGCTGCCTCCTGCTGCCCCACTGTGCTGCCTCCTGCTGCCCCCACTGTGCTGCCTCCTGCTGCCCCCACTGTGCTGCCTCCTGCTGCCCCCACTATGCTGCCTCCTGCTGCCCACA